AACATTGGCTCTGTGGCACGGATGTGTGCGGTTAACGAGGTAAAGACAAGTCACATCCTTCATTTGTTGCAGACTGCATCTGATCGGGCTTTCTTCCGGAGGCCTGTAGCACAGAAGTGTTCCGTTCGTGTGTGTGCTCTGTGGGTAATGGTTCCACTGGCTGTACACAAAGTAGCAGCTGATTCAGATTAAAGTAGCCATTGAGCCACCGCCTCCTGGTTCTTTCTGACCCTTAGCCATTTGGAGCAAGTGGAGGAAGACATACATGCTCAGAGGTTCTCTCTGCCCTCGGCTTCTCTACAGTGCTGCCTTGTTGCATGTGGATCAAGCAGCATTGTACAGGGCTATGAGGACAGCGAGACTGCGTCTTCATGGCCTGTGTGAGGGGTTTGTGCTGCTGGCTCTGAAAAGCATGTGTGTGTAGGATGAACTAGGAGCTTTGCTTCTTGATGAAAGATTTGTTCATTCACTCATCGATTGAAAACCCCATCCCGCCTGTCCCCCTCCCCTTCAGAATTTGTATTATTCTGCGGATATGCATGATAAGTCATTCAATGTACATTAGTGGCTGAGTGGGAAAGGAAGACCGTGTGTGTAGAAGGCCTGGTGTGCATAGTTACACACAGAAGTGTTTGAGGTGCTGAGACATCTGGTCCGATGACTCCTCAGTGCTTCATAGAGAATCTTGGAAGATTTCAAACAACTAGAAACCAAGGGGAAGAGAGAAAACGCGGTCCGTGGGCAAAGACAAGACGTTGCCGACATGGCCATGCAGGCAGGAGCGAGGCTGTGGCACAGGAACAAGTACACAGAGCCCCCGCTCTGTGGATGAGAATGAGATTGGGGAGTGCTTTGTGAGTGTGGAATCGTGGCAGGGAGAATGGCTCAGTAGGTCAGGCTGGGGACAGGCAGGTTGGTGGGCACCGCTGTTCTCCACCTGAGAACAGTAGACTTGGGCTCTGAGACGGCCTTGGGTTTCCTCCCCTCCAGCCACACTCAGCCTGGCCTCCCCGGCCAGGTCCCAGCGAGCGCTGCCTGCCATTGCAGGGCCAGCCGCCTGGCATCCAGGCTCCACCCCGCACGGGTATGTGGATGTACAGAGCTTTGCTCGGGGACCGAGCGGGCGTGGACTGGCAGCCGCTCTGAAGCCGCCTGGCACCCAGGTTCCGCCCCGCATGGGTGTGTGGATGTGCAGAGCTTTGCTCCGGGACCGAGCGGGCGTGGACTGGCAGCCGCTCTGAACCGCTGCACAGCGGCTCCTCCACAAGTCACTCTCTTTGTTCTCTTAGAAAATAAACAGAGTTGTCTTTGTCGGAAACTTCTTACGCGTCAACACCCTCTCGATGAAGCTCTTGGCCTATGCATTGGATTACTGGTCAAAAGGTCAATTGAAAGCATTGTTTTTAGAGCACGAGGTATGACAACTATGTTTCATTAATTGTTTAACAACCTGTTTTTAAATATCGATGTTCCATGCTGCTTCATGCCTTGTGTTTGTAAGGTAAAACTACATTTTAGGTTTTTTTCTTGAGACATGTTGTAGATCTGGTTGCTCTTGCATCTGTCCTCCTGCCTGAATGAATGTTCTAAGTGGTGAGATTACAGGCTTCCAGTTAGAATTTCAGGCTGGGTGCAGTAGCTCACGCCTGTAATCCTACTGGAGAAGCAGAGATTAGGATTACAGTTCAGGGTCATACCCAGCAAAAGACAGCTGGACACCAGGTCTCCCTGTGTCCGGCTCTGTGCTTCCTGTCTGCTACAAAGGGCAGAGCACACCGTGATGTTCTGGCTGGCCGACAGCTCAGAAGGATGGGATGAAGCCCTGACGTGGACTGCACTCTGAGAGCTGAAGGAAATTCCTCCCTTTTTTTTTTTTTTTTTTTTTAAGCTGGACATGATGGTATAAATAGTAGGACTGACCTCTAGGCCAGCCTTGGCAAAAACTCAGGAGCTTGCCTGAAAAAAGGTAAAAAAGGGCTTAAGGACGTGGCTCTAGGTTCAAACCCCAGTCCTGCCAAAAACAACCATGAGAACCATGAATGAGGATTTCCTAGTTCTTGTGAGCAAGTGAGCAACTTGAGGTATCTCAGCTCTTTAGATACCTAGGGCTGCAGAAGACTCAGTCGATACTCTGCTTTGTTAAATTATTTAAAATGATAAATGTGGCTCATCACACAAATAGGTCATTTAGCAAGGAAATTCTGACTAAACTCTACCACCAGAGGTCCCCACCTGACTCCTACTACCACTAGCATTTGGAATTTGTGAATTTCTTCACATCCAGTTTCTAATTCAATTAATAGTCCTTGTTATGCTCTGGGCTAAGTAAAGTTAACTTTAAATCAAAGTCAGTTGGTTATATTATTTATTGTAAGTTCCTAAAACAAATCCAGAATCTGGCTCTGCTCTTGTAATCCCGCGTTCCTCCTGCTGCCCTCCCTGAACGGCAGGTCGAGGCCTGGGCAGCCAGCCAGCATGCAGAACACAGAGGTTATTTGATTTATTATTATTGAATGGTCCCAAGACCCTCAGCTCAGCTGCTTTGTAGTCTTGGAAGCTTTTTATATTAAAAGGATATGTATCTGTTCAGAAAGAGCTTAAACTTTTTATCTTTTTTTTTTTTTTTTTTGTTACTCGTGGAGCTTGAACTCAGGGCCTGGGCACTAGTCCCTGAGCTCTTTTTGCTCAAGGCTGGCACTCTATCATGGTGCTTGGCTCAGTATTGCTTGGTATTAAAAAAAAAAAAAATGGCAGGCACTGTGGCTCACACCCGTAATCCTAGCTACTCAGAAGGCTGAGGTCTGAGGATCATGGTTCAAAGCCAGCCTGGTGGGAAATTGCAAGACTCTTATCTCCAGTTAACCACCAGAAAATTGGAAGTGGCACTGTGGTTCAACCTTGAGCAAAAAAGCTCAGGGACAGCACCCAGGACGCGGGTTCAAGCCCTACAGCCGACAAATCGGTGACACATAAATGTAATCTCTGCTTACTGAAAAGTGCTGACATTGCCTAAAAGCTGCCCTGCTCTAACAGTTGCTCACAATCACACAGGGCTACTTCGGAGCGGTTGGTGCACTTCTTGGACTGCCAAACTTCAGCTGACGTGTCAGATCTGTTCGTTCAAGTAGCTGAAGCCGCAGGCAGGCATCCGGGCACCGCCGCGACTGGGAACCAAAGGATGAAAGAGTCACACTGCTCCTGTTGATCTCTAAATGTCCCCATGGTCAGCCGGGAGCGTTGCTGCTGGGGAGGAGTTGCTGAAGATCCCTCATTGATGGTGTCCTCCGTATGTAGATAGCCCATGTCCTGCCGCAGTGCAACACAGACCTATTTATTTTACGTAGCTCACAGTGTAGTACCATATGCTCCAACACAGACCTTCAAGTCTCAGAGCTGGTTCGAGTATGAGAAGTAATTGGTTGTATTTGTTCACATCTGTTTTATGTGTGTTCTGGTTACGCTGTATCGCACTGTATCGCCCTGATTGCACTGTATGGGCAATCTAGGCGATTAGTTGGAGACTTTGGGAATGTGAAGGCAGCGCTGAATACTGGTTATGGTAGTTTTTGTAACATATCCTCTGTCACAAAGCATGTTGGGGTGACCTGTCCCCAAAGATGTGATTCTTCTCAAATGCCACGATGATTTACTTGAAAAACTCCTGAGTCTCAGGAGAATCCTGGGAAATTATATTTTGATTTTTGAGTTAAATCAACACAAGTTAACATGTTTCATATTTTCAGATTGGAAGCTTCCTTCCTTTGGAGTCTAATGGGGTCCTTGGACTGCGCAGACAGTGTGCTTGGGGCAAATTCATACTTTTTGTGCTCTTTTGTGGCCATGTGTATCTCAGGCCAATGTTTCTTCTCATTAGATCGGAACCATGAAAGCTAAAGATTTTATGCTGCTCTGAAAAACTGCAACAGAATCAACTTCTACTTGGATATTGTGAAACTGGGGATCTGAGGCAGAATTGCAGAGTTAAAAAAGATCAGTGTTTGATACATTCTGGTAATAAAAAGCATTATAGTTCCAAAATGGGTCGGGTTTATTCTGTCGTCGGCTCACGTACTGTCAGGTGATGACCTTTGGAGTGTTTGTCTCCAGCAACACGTTGGTGGGCCACGGGTCCAGGATGCAGGCTGGCTGCCAGGGAGCTCACCTGGGTAATTGCCAGCGCCTGTGGTGTGCTTGGGAGAGCCTGTGTGTACTTAAAACCACTATTGCGGGGTTGCATTTTTCTAGAGGGGCCTCTGCTTGCCAGGTGGGCTCCGCCGCATGACCCACGCCCTCAGCCTTATTTTGCTTTAGTTATTTTTTCAGATAGAGTCTCATGTTTCTTTACCCAGGGCTAGCCTCAACTTCCATCTTCCTTCCTTACACCTCCTGCAGCCGAGACCACAGGCATGCCTGCCTGCACTACCATGCCTGCTTGTTCTTTTGAGATGGAGTCTTGGGAACATTTTTTACCCAGAACTACCCTTGAACTTCAGCCTCCTACTCTGCCTCCTGCCTGGGAACCCAGGCGCGAGCCACGATGCCAAGGTCACCGCCACTCTCAGGGCTTGAGGAGGACATTCTGAGCAGCTTTCAGACCTTGTGCTCAGGTGCTCAAAGTTCACGGAGACAAATACAAGTGTGAGAAACATAAATAACATTGTTTCTTTTGTGCGTGTATGCGTGTGTGTGTGTGTGTGTTGGGGCTTGAACTCAGGGCCTGGGTACTGTCCCTTTTTCCCTTAAAGCTGGCCCTCTCCCACTTGAGCCACGCCTCCACTTCCACAGTAACATTTAGACTGTTGGAAACTTGAGTTGGGGCACTAGGTGGGCATTGTCAGCTCTGACAGTGATGCTACGCTTGTGAACTCTTTCCTTGGAGCGCAGGCCAGCTGTCTCAACTCGGTCGAGTGAGAGCGGTGTGGCTTCAGGCCCGTGGCGGAGGCCCTGTGTGTGTGTGTTAGGTGTGGCTGCAGGCCCGTGGCGGAGGCCCTGTGTGTGTGTTAGGTGTGGCTGCAGGCCCGTGGCGGAGGCCCTGTGTGTGTGTTAGGTATGGCACACAGGCACTCAGTCTCTTAAGGCTGAATATCCAAGTACCAGCTTGATCTCTGTGCTTAGGTTAATAGTTGTAAGCTAAAATTCATGGAGAGGGAACAGTGGTGTCTCCCATCTGTAATCTGGGAGTGCTGCATAGAATGAGCGGAGGGCAAGGCCGCCAGGATTCTGAGTGGTAAGTTCCCCATAAGAACAAGTGCAGCCAAGGCTGGGAAGGTGGCTCAGTGGTCGAGTGCTCACCTACCATGCATGAAGCCGCCTTGGGGTCCATTCCTCAGCACCACATACACAGAAAAGGCCAGCAATGGTGCTGTGGCTCAAGGGGAGCATGCTAGCCTTGAGCAAAGAAGCGTAAGGACTGCCCAGGCCCTGAGTTCAAGACCCTAGACTGGCAATACATTAAAAAAAATAAGAGTGCACTCACAGATTGCTCCCAGGACCGCGTCGCTGAGCATGGTGTACCCCAAAGGCCTGTGTTCTTCAATGTGATCGGTGAAGTGTCAGTGTGGTTGTACACTTTCTAGCAAACACATTGAGAAAGTAGGAAACTGCGTGCAAGTTGTTGTAGTTGAGTATTTTTATTTAGTCTCACAGATCCAAAGTACAAGAAGACATATTTGGGAGAAAGGCTGCATGAAGCCCTGGGTTCAATTCTTCAGTACCACATACACAGAAAAAGCCCGAAGTGGTGCTGTGACTCAAATGGTAGAGCGCTTGCCTTGAGCACAGAGAGGCTCAAGGACAGTGTCCAGGCCCTGAGTTCAAGCCCCAGGACTGGCAAAAACAAAATTAAAAAGCCCTTACATTTTCTGCTGAGGCTAGAAATACTGGTTAAGACAAAACAGTGAATGCTTTTCCTGTGTTTCAGAGCCCATTAAATTGACAGCGGGCTGACAAGTGACCATCACAGCGCCGGTCATTTCCACTTCCAAGAAGCAGTCCCTGCGGCCCCCTCCCCTGTCCTGTGTTGGAATTCCATGCCACGTCTCGCTGGACACTGGACGGGCGTTCCCATGGGAGATGCCGGGGGGGGGGGGGGCGCGACTTGCGACTTTGTTCCCCCCAGATATCCCCAGGTGTTTGCTGTGGTGCTCTGGAGTGAAGTTGCGGGGTTGCATCCTAAGTGCATTGTCCTGCCTTGCCTGCTTCCACACTGGCGTGTGTTACCAGGTGCTGGGTTTCCCCGGACCGGGAGGACACTACGGTTCTTTGATGGCCCGTGGACACACCTGACAGTCCGTGCAGGTGTCCGCCATCTGTGAACATCGCCGTTAGCTAGATGACGCGGGCACTATCATAGCAGTTTCCACTGTATGTCACGGGAGTGTCCCACGTTGGAATGTGACAGTGTATGAGACTTTCTAGTGGCCCCTTGTTCCTTATGGGCGCGGACGGGGTGAGCGTGAGCCCCTTCCAGAATTAACATATTGCTTTTGTCCAACTTGCGGCTACGTTCGTAAAGCAGGAGTGTAGTTACCTGCAGTAAGTTGAGATGGAATGGTAGCCACCTCCCGGGCTGGTGGGTGGCCTGGGTGGCATCCCTGCCTTGCTCCTGTGTCCCCGAGGTGAGCTGGCCCTGTGGGGGTGGGGGGGAGGGGTGGGGGTTGAAGGACTAGCTCGGAGGAGCAGCTCTGTTCTGTAGTTCATCTTTCTGCTGCAGACACCACCAATTTTATGTTTGGGAAGGTAGCTATGCGATGTTACTTTTCAGCACAGAGATTAGAAATGCAAGAGTGTTCTGGTGATACTGAGGTTTGAACTCAAGACCTGCTTGATGGAGCTGGTACTGTACCACTACTTCCATAATGCCTCCAGCCCTGCTTTTTGCCTAAGATGGAAACTTTCTGCCTGGACAGACCTCAAACATTGGTCTTCTGGATCTTCACTTCCTAAGGAGGTAGATTAGATTGCAGGTACGAACTACCAGTACCCAGCAGAAATCAAGGTTTGGAATTGCATAAATATATTCAACTCTAGCATGTTTTTCTTTTTTCTAAGTATCTTTCATACATTTTAATACTTAAGATTTGAATAAGCTGGGCACTGGTGGCTCACGCCTGTCATCCTAGCTACTCAGAAGGCTGAGATCTGAGGATCATGGTTCAAAGCCAGCCTGGGCAGGAAAGTCCATGAGACTCTTCTCTAATAAACCACTAGAAAACCAGAAGTGGTGCTGTGGCTTAAGTGGTAGAGCACTCGTCTTGAGCTGAAGAGCTCAGGGACAGCACCCAGGCCCAGAGTTCAAGACCCACGACTGATCAAAAAAAATAGCTCTCAAAGCAAAGTGTTTTCATTTTTTTTTTTTTTTTGGTCCGGTTGTGGGGCCTGAGCTCTGGGCCTGAGCGCTGTCCCTCAGCTCTTCAGCTCAAGGCTAGCGCCCTACCACTTGAGCCATAGCGCCACTTCTGGCTTTTGTCTTTTTGCTTATGTGGTGCTGAGGAATCGAACCCAGGGCCTCATGCATGCAAGGCAAGCACTCTACCACTGAGCCACCTTCCCAGCCCAGTGTTTTCATTTTTATGCAGCTACATAGATAAATACTATAAAATAGCTTGACATCATTTAGGTTGATTTTGTGGTATGGCTGCCATCTGGGTATCATACCAGCTCAGTCAGCAGTTAACACAGCCAACTATTTTGAAATTTGCCTTCCTTTCCCTCCCTCCTTCCCTCTCTTTCTTTCTTGTGGTGGTCATGGGGCTTGAGCACGGGGTTGGTGGCATAGGGCAGCTCTCTTTCTGATGCCTTCCTCTCTGTGAGCGTCTTTGGCTCTGAACTCTTCCAGACTTGAACCTTGCTTGAAAGATGGTGTGTGCGACAGGCTACGTTGTAGCCTGTACCACCTATGAAACTGTCCTTGTGCACGCTCTTTTCCACATGTGGAGTCTGCTGCGGTTCCTTCTGGAAGCTCTGTAGGCGTGGCTGAGCTGCCGGGGCGGGGCGGGGGCTGCTGAAATGGCAAATCAGCCACGCAGCCAACCCCAGTGTTTCCTTTACTGACTTGGATTCTGTGCATACGCTAAATGAATGTCAAACGCAGGCTCTTCATCTTCTGATTATCCGTCACCCCTTGGGCGGCGGTCTGCTTGCAGCTTCTTCCCTTGCTGCGTGAGCGCCGGGGCTGTGGCCAGGTGAGTGTCCTCTGTGTCCCCATGGTGGGGACGAGGTCTGTGAGATGACCTCATGATCCCACTTCAGAAGCGGCGCTGCACAGCCCAGCAGCCCAGCTGGCCGCACCCGTGAGGCGGGCCGAGGGGCTGTGCTGGTGAGCAGTGCTGGCAGCGGATCCCAACATTCTAGCCGGGTGCCGTGGCTCACGCCGGTCCTCCAGCTACTCGGGAGGCTGAGATCTGAGGACTGCAGTTCAAAGCCAGCCCGGGTAGGAAAGTCCGTGAGACTCCGAGGATCTAAGCTCATCCAGCGAATCAGCTGCGGCTCTGTCACTCCAGGCTAGAATGTTCTGGAAGAGATCAAACAAGTTCTCAGGCAAGCTGTGGTGGCCGGCCACAGCTTAGGTGGCTGCAGGCGGAGTGGCAGGGTCCGGAAGGCAGGAGTGCTGGTGTTGGGGGCCAGCGTGGGCTATGTCGTGAAAAAAGAACAGAACACTGCTCAGAGCGCGGAGAGGACGGGCCAAGGACAGGCTTGGGGCAGGCCGCGGGCAGGAGGACCCGGGGGACCCCAGGACGTCGCCAGCCCTGGCGTTTGAGCTCAGGACGCCAAGGTGTACAGAGTCGAGTTCATTGGGTGGCTCTGAGCTCCCCGGTCGTGGTGTGGCGAGGCCCCGCTCGCCTGTGAACCCAAGGACAGCCCTCATTAGAGTAGACATGCCGGGCTTGCTCGGGGCCTCCGGCTCCCAGCACTACCTCCGGCCGGTTTTCTTCTTTTAGATTCTGCTCAGGTGGCCTCGTCCTGCTCATAGCACACAGGCTGGAGCACACTTGGCTTGTGTTTGAGTTGCTCTCACCAGCTTTTCTGGTCTGGCTAGCTGTCACCTACAACCTTTACCTCTGCCTCCCGAGCCACTGGGATTACAGGTGTGTGCCACCACAGCCAGCCACGTATTCGAAGGATTGTCAGTTCTGGGCCGCAACCCTTGCAGCAAGGGGTGGGGTGTTGCATGGTGCTGGGGCGGGCGGGAGGGGGGGAGGAAGGGGAGATTTCCACACTGGACTAACACATCTGCGTATCAGAAGGCAGATGTGAACAGGGGAGTGTGACCTAAAGGGCGTGAGACTGGTTTCTGGACTCCCAAGTTCCCTCCAACTGGTGCTGGGGGCAGCTTGGTGTTTTGGGGTAACGTCTTCCTCCTGTGTTCTTTGAGGTGTCCCACAGAAAGGGCCTGACACCTCCTTTGCTTCTGCACCCGCGAGGGCACTGCTCAACCCCAGACAGCCAGAAATCGATGCTCGAAGTCCCTGTGTCCAGAGAGCAGGTACAAACGCGGGAGCCGGGTGGCCATGGCGCGGAGATTCAAGGGGTCCAGGTGGCTGGTCTGCGGTGTGGACCCTCGAGGCACGGCAGGCAGGGTGGGGCTGAAGGGGGGCCGACGGGGCCCATTGTAGCTGTGCACGAAGACGTCACTCGTGAAGCAGCCGAGTGCCTGAGGCGAACAGAACGGCTGCGGCCAACGCAGGCCTGGAGCCCCACGGTGGAAAGGGCCCGCGTGAGCAGTCTGCAGGAAAGCCACTGGTGCCGGTGTTCAGGGGACCCCCCCCCCCCCGCGTGAGCCCTGAGGAGGCCGGTGGAGCGCACACCGAGGGGAGGGAGGGAGGGCGCTCCCACACAGCGCTGCAGAGTGGAGGGGGCGGGCAGGGGGCTCGCAGGTGCTGCACCTGCAGGGAGACCCCCCCCACTCCCCCAACCAGGAAGCTTCCGACGCCTCCACTTTGCACCCAGCTCTGTGTGGTCGCCTGGGGTCGGTGTCCAAGACCCTTCACCATTGTGACCCCAAGCTCATCGGCTGGGGTGTCCCCCCAAGAGACCTGCAGAGGACAGGGGTGTCCGTGATGGCCCTTCCATGATGCCCGGGGCCCTGTGCACACCGCGGTGGCTTCCGGTTGGGCCAAGCACCACATTCCCAATCGGGAAGAGAGTTGGGGGGCTCTGTGGATCTGGAGGGGACTGCGGCAAGGGGCACCCCAGGGCCCCTGTTCTCCAGAGGGCTGGCCTGGAGCTGACCCCCTTCCCTCCCTCCCTCCCTCCGCAGCCCAGCCAGGCCTCTGCTGACACCGCGCCCTCTTCCTTCCTTCAAGGCTGACAGCCTTGTGCAAATGGGGACAGGCCCTGCCGGCTGGCCGGGGCCCTGACCCCGAGAGCCAGCACTGCCCCGGGGAAGCGGGGCCAGATCCTCACAGAGGCCGAGCCCACGCTCTGCCCTCCTGGGTGCGCCCCCACCCTGGAGTCCGGCCCCCAGGCCGCACCAGCCTCTAAGGCCACAGCCTTGGGGGGGGGGTCTGTCCCCACTGGAAGTCACACTCCTGCCACCGCCCTGTCACCTGGGGGCCGCTCCCTCTGCCCCCAAAACTCTTGCTATGGGGGAACCTCACTGGGATACAGGCAGAACAGCGAAGCCTGGAGCCCAGTGTGTGTGTGTCAGTGGTGTGTGTCAGTGGTGTGTGCGTGGCAGTGTCCTGTGCGTGTGTGTGTGTGTGTGTGATCCCGGGTGCAGCAGTGTCCCGGCCCCTCAGCAGCCCCGTTGCTGGCCTCCTCCGGTGGAGGCCCCGCCTGCCCCCCCCCCCCCCCCCCCGGCCCCGCCGGCCCGGCCTTCCCGCCCCCCCCCCCCCAGCACGAACCGGGCGGGGGCGCGGCGCCCGCCCCGCACACAAAACCAGGCGGCCTCTGCTAGAAGGTTCCTCTTTAATGAGAGCCGGGCGGGCGCAGCGCGCGGGGGAGCCGCCCGCCCGCTAGGCGCGGTAGACGCCCAGCACCACCGCGTGGTGGCGCTCGTAGGGCTCCAGCGTGAGCTGCTCCTGCGGCCGCAGGTCCTCGCGCCGCAGCTGGCGGAGCTCGGCGGCCAGGGCGGCGGCGGCGCCGGCGGCGGCCGAGGCCCGGATGGACACCAGGAAGTGCCCGCCGCGCCGCAGGAAGGCGTGCGCGTTGAGCGCGGCGATGCGCGCGGGGTCGGGCTGCGCCACGTCGGCCACCAGCACGTCCACCATGCCCACCAGCATGCGGTAGCGCAGCGGGTGCCGCGCGTCCTCCAGCACCGGCACGATGTTGGGGCGGCGGCGCGCCACGCCCACCAGCTCGCGGCCGGCGCGCGGCGACGGCTCCACGGCGTACACCAGGCCCTGCGGCCCGACGATGTCCGACACGTGCGACACCGTGGCGCCCGACGCGGCGCCCAGGTAGAGCACGCGCGCGCGCGGCCGGATGTGCAGGCGCTCGGCGCCGCCCAGGATGGCGGCCGCCAGCTTGGAGCGGAACGGGTCCCACGTGCGGTACTCGCGCCGCGCGCCGCCCTCGCCCACCGTCACGCGCCGCTCGCCGTACACCGACTGCCCCGGCACCAGGTTGCGCGTGGCCAGCGCGTCCTCCGCCCCGCGGTACACGAACACGCCCTCGTGCCGGTGCGGCTCCACCGACGCGGCCGCCACGGCCCGGCGCCGCCGGCCCCGCGCGCGCCCCGCGCCGCGGCCCCGCGCGCCCCGGCCCCGCGCGCGCCCCCCGCCGCCGCCGCCGCCGCCGCGCGCGCCCGCCGCCGGCTTCATGCGGCCCGGGCGCCCGCGGGGGGGACCCGGGCGCGGCCGGGGGTCGTTGGTGGATCCGGGGGGGGGCTCCGGGGGTCCCGGCGCGTCCGCGTCGCCCCGGGGGTCGCCGCTGGGTCCCGCCGGCCGGGGGGGGGCGTCCGCTCGTCTGCGTTACCGGGGTCCCCGGGGTGCGGGCGCGGCCGATCGCGGCCGCGGCCGGTGGGTGCGGGAGGCGGAGGCCGGGAGGGAGGCGAGGGCGGCGGGGTCCGGCCGCGCCGAGACGCAGGGCCGGCGTGATTGCGTCAGCACGCGGCCCGCCGCGGACGCCCTTCGACCCCCGCCGCCGCCGCCGCCGCCAGCTGCGTCGGGAGCGCGTGCGGGGTGTGCGGGACCGGGGCGCGCGGGGGGCCGGGGCGCAGGGGGAGGCCGGGGCGCGGGGGGCCGAGGGGCGCAGGGGGAGGCCGGGGCGCGGGGGCCGCTGCCTGGAACTACCCAGAGCTGGGGACCGGGGACAGCGCCGGGCAGCACCAGGGACAGCGCCGGGCAGCGCGGGGACAGACCGGGCACAGCCCTCCCGCGTGGGGCCCCGTGGCGGAGCTCGGAGGGGAGCTGGGCAGCCCCGATCCGTGCGCCCGCCCTGGGCCTCCCAGCCTCTGGGGCGCGCGGGTCACTGGGGACGAGGGAAGCCGGCGAGGGCCGAGGCGGCTCGGACCTCACCCCCTGGCCAGTGCGCCGGTCCTCGTGGCCAGGCCTGGCTCAGCAGATCGTCCCGTGCCGCGGGCCGTGCAGAGATCTGCCCTGGAGATGGCTGCTCCGGCCCGGCCCCTTTGGCCTGTGGGTCAGGGTCTCTTGCGAACAGGTCCCTTGCCGGCAGCCCCAGCTCCCCTCCCTCCCCCCCCTCTCTCCCTCCCTCATTTCCTTCTTTTGGTGCCGGTCCTAGGGCTTGAACTCAGGGCCTGGGTGCTGTCCCTGAGCTGCTTTCGCAGGCGCTCCTGGAGCCCCAGCTCTCCTTCCTGCTTTGGTAGTTTAGTGGAGATGAGCGTCACAGACGTGTTCTTCCCTTTGGTTTGAAGTGTGTAGCCAGTGTTTTGTTATTGTAGCAGATTATGTGGAACTGCACTGGTTTCACCACGTTAGATGAAGAACTACACTTGCACTTCACCCAGGGCAGCAGTTGAACCTGTCTCATCAACTTCTATATTTCCTTGATAACTTCCGAGGTTAGATTTGATTTCATTTTTTCATTGAGATTAAGTGCTTTTCCAGTATTGTGGGATAGTGATACTTAAAAGTCACAAAACACGTTTCACCCGTCACAAGGCAAATGGTCGTTGCCGTGGTCTATAAAGTCCGTGAATTCTGAGTTTTGACAATACAGTCGTTCCTTCCACGTGGGTGGCACGTACATTTCTTCCCTTTGCTTAGTGTGAGCTGTTCCCTCTTTCCCTCTCCTTCCCTCCCTCCCACCGCAGCCCTTGAGTTGCTTACTTCGTGTTCATCCATGCCCAGTGCAGCAGAAGGGCCCTCTGTTGGATGTTTCCCCGTTTCCCTCTGATTTCGCTGTATTCTTTCTGAATACTCACGCTTGGCCCCAGCAGCATGGCCTGGGATCTCGCCCAGCTGAGAGAGTCCCGCCGTGCCCAGCTTTTTATTAATTGAGATAGGGGGTCTCATGAATTTTTGGCGTGGATCACCTTGAACTCAATCTCTTTAACACTAGCGTGTCTCCATTACATCCGGGCCCCGACTCTCCTTTCTTGGTAGTGTGTATTCCTTTGCTTGATCCCTAAAAGATTTTAGATTTCTTTTTGTCAGTCATGGGGCTTGAACTCAGGGCCTGGGTCCTGTCCCTGAGTTTTTGTTTTGTGCTCAAAGCTAGGCCTCTACCACTGAGCCATAACTCCACTTAGGGCTTTTTGTTTTGTTTTGGTGGTTCATTGGAGGTAAGAGTCTCACAGAGTTCCCCGCCCAGGCTGGCTTTGAACCTCGATCCTCAGATCTCAGCCTTGGCTAGGATGACAGGTGTGAGCCACCAGCGCCCGGCTCTCTGTAGTAATTTTTGCAGTTGGAAATTGTGGGCCTTCCCATGTTGTTCTTTCTCAGTTTTTTGTCTAGTTGTTGTCCACTGACATTTTGTGTGTGTTGTGGGAACAATTGGGGAAGACTTACAAAGAAGTCAGCTTTTGTTTTGTTTTGTGTGTGTGTGTGTGTGTGTGTGTGAGTGTGTGTGTGTGAGAGAGAGAGAGAGTGTGTCAGTCAGTCTGGGGTTTGAACTCAGGGCCTGGCCGCTGTCCCTGAGCTTTTTTTGCTCAAGGCTAGTGCTTTACGACTTGAGCCCACAGCTCCATTTCTGGCTATTTGGTGGTTAATTGGAGAGGAGTCTCGTAGACTTTTCCTGCCTAGCCTGGCTTTGAACCATGATCCTCAGATCTCAGCTTCCTGAGTAGCTAGGCTGCTGGCGGCAGCACGCTGGATGCTGGGGAGGAGAATGTGGATGTCTCCCACACAGGCCGACGGCGCTTCCTCTGGGTAGAAGCCCAGGAGTGGGATTGGCTGGGATTAAAGACGGCTCTCCACCTGGTTTACCCGAGGAACCTGCTGCCGGGGCCACAGTGGCTGTTGTAATTTGTTTTCCACCAGGAGCAGTGGTGGTTTTCTCTCCTTTGCTGAGTCCTACCAGTGGGCAGGTGGGGCTTATACTTGGAGGCCAAGCTGAGCAAATGAATCCAAGAGACTCTTCTCTCCAGTTAACCAGCAAATGCCAAGTGGGAGGCATGGTTCAGGTGGCCGAGTGCCAGCTGTCAGCAAGAACTCGGGCACTGTAAGGCTGTCGGGTCCACTTGCTGTGGCGTGGAGCGAGCTCGTGTTTCTCCAGTCTGGATGATCTGGCATTACGGCGCCGCCGCCGGTCTCCCCTGGACCTTGTTAACGCTGGCTGGTGCTTTGGAGCGCTTTGGTTTTGAGTGCACACAGGTGTATCCCTGTTTCCTCTTGCTTTGTTGTTGTATAAAATAGCTTGTTATTTGGGGTGTGTGGTGTGGTGGGGGAGGGGGTGGTTTTAGTCTCCCAAGCCAGGTCTGGCACTGCAGCCCTGGCTGATCCCCCGGCTGGGACTACTGACAGCTGCGGCCACACCCAGCTTTTTCTAGTTGGTCGTGGGGCTTGAACTCTGGGCCTGTGCGCTGTCCTTCAGCTCAAGCGAGCGCTCTGCCACGTGAGCCGCAGCGCCGCTTCCAGTTTTCCGAGTGGTTTATTGTAGCTAAGAGTCTCATGGACCGTCCTGCCCCGGCTGGCTTTGAACCGTGATCCTCAGATCTCAGCCTCCTGAGTGGACAGGATGACAAGCGTGAGTTGCCAGTGCCCGGCCAGCCCTTCTGCCGTCCTGGGTCTCCATTGCATGGAGTGGCCGCCTCCGCTCCTTCACCAGTCAGTCCTGGAGCTTGACTTCAGGGCCTGGCGATGTTCCTTAGCTTTGTTGTCGTTGTTTCTCTGCTCTGGGCTGGTTCTCTACTACTTGAGCCACAGCTCCACTTGTGGCTTTTGTTATTGTTAATTGGAGAAAAGAATCTCATGAGTTTTTCTACCTGGGATGGCTTTGAACCAGAATCTTCAGATCTCAGCCTCGAGCAGCTGGTTGGTAGGCATTGTGGGCTGCGTGTGCCACCAGTGCCTGGGTCTGGTTTACCCTTTAGGAATAACTCTTTACTATTCTGTATAGTTCCCTCTCCTCTTCCTGTTTGTTTTCAGTGTTGTACTTTGGTTCTGTTGTATTACTTAGCAAGTAAGTGAGACTGGCTGTTCGGTGGCACTGAGAATTGAACTCAGGCCTGGTGACTCCCAGGAGCCATGACCCCAGTCCTTTGGTTTTTAGTTTGTTGTGGGCTGGCTTCCAGTTGTGATCTACTTCTGCAACCCAGGTGGCTGGGATGACAGGCATGCACCACTGAGCCTGCCTGCTTTAGATGCTGGTGATGGGCTCTGACTTTCCATGCCACACAGCTGGCATCCTCACTCTTACACTGATCTTTCACTTGTGTGTGTGTGCCAGTACTGGAGCGTGAGCTACGGCCTGGGCACCGTCCTTCAGTTCTCCGCCCTCCTGAGTAGGAGCACTACAGTGTGGCCCAGAGCGCGGTCTTCTGCCATTTGTTTCTGTGCAACTCCTCAGTGTCTGAGGCCTTATCTCACACCTCTTCACCATCCTGCTGCAGGTGTTTTTTCCTCACGTGCAGTTTTTTGGTGATGAGTTCCCCCAGCCTTGTCTGAGTCTTTACCAATCCTTTACTTCAGTGTTATTAGAGGGTTTGAGTTCGGGATCTTGGCTTGCTAGGCCCCTTCTTAGCCATGCCCCTAGCCTTTTTCCTTTTTTTTGCTGGTCCTGGGGCTTGAACTCGGGGCCTGGGCTCTATCCCTGAGCTGCAGTGCCCAATGCTGTCTGTTCTCAAATATACATTGTGTGGCATCATTTTGTAGTGGGCTACAGATGTGTGCGCATTTCTGGAATCTGAGTTCCACCCTTTGGTTCAGGTCTGTCTTTGGGGCAGCAATGTGATGATTTTTGTTTTTTTTGGGTCAGTCCTGGGGCTTGAACTCAGGGCCTGGGCACTGTCCCTTAGCTATTCAGCTCACTCTACTACTTGGGCCATAGCGCCACTTCTGGCTTTTTCAGCTCTTGTGGTGCTGAGGAATCAAACCCAGGGCCTCATGCATGCGAGACAAGCACTCTATCACTGAGCCACCTTCCCAGCCCCGTGATTTCTTTTTGTGCCAGGCCCAGGGTTTGAACTCAGAGCCTGCCTGGGCACTATCCTTGAGTCTTTGTACTCAAGGCTGGTGCTCTGCCACCTGAACATGACAGCTCCACTTCTGGCTTTTTTTGGTGATTACTCAGGCTGGCTGGCTTCGAACCACAGACCTCAGATCTTAGCTTCACGGTAGCCAGGGTCACAGGGGTGAGCCACCAGCACGGTTGGCCTGTTGGCTGCTGTTGCTGAGCAGCAGTCACACCGCTCCTCTGGTTTCCTGCCGAGCCGGGCTCGGTGGTCGTCTCCAGCACGGTGTCTGTGGCTTTGTGGCCTCCGTCTGCACCCAGGGGTTGGTGCCGTTCCCCACCCCAGCTCCTCACAGCCCAACGCAAAGCCCCCTCTGCTTGGTTGAGCCCTACGCCCATCTTAGTCCAGCTTTGCAAGTGGTTTTTTTTTTTGGTGCTAGTCCTGGGGCTTGAACTCAGGGCCTGTGCGCTGTCCCGGAGGTTTGTGTTCAAGGCTGCTGTTCTATCGCTGGAGACACAGTCCCACTTCTGGCTTTTTGACCAGCTGTAGGTAGGAGTCTGTCTTGTGAACTTTCCTTCCTGGCTGGCTCTAAACGGCAGTCCTCAGATCTCCAGGAGACAGGACTGAACCAAGATGCCCAGCTTGCACTTCCTTATGTATTCTTGAGATTGTTAACCTGGTGTTCTGGGTATGGATTTTGAGTTACTATTCGGGTCCTTTGGCATCAGCCTTCCGATCTTGTAAGGCAGTCCAGGTAGTGTTGTGTTGTTCATCAGGATTATTTACTGGCAGTGCTGGGTGTTGCTGTGTAGCTCAGACCCGAGTGCCAGGACTACAGGGCTGCGTCTCGCCAGTGCTGTCTTGGGTGTCTTTATGGGACGCGGCTGTCCAGGCTGAGCTCGCTCTCACTCTGGCCGGTGTGGTGCTTCCCGCCGGCCCTGTGCTCAGCCAGGCCTCTGGGAGGCACTGTGGTGGAGACAGGGTCTCCACTGGAGCAGGGTGCAGGGGGGCTCCCCACCACGCCCCCCGGGGCCTTGCAGGGGTATTGCTCAAAAACAAACAGGTGTACTTGTGAAAGTCGATTTTCTTTTTATTGTTAGAAATAGATGTGAAAGAATTACATTTGCATAGATGGCTGAGAAATCTTTGCTAAGTTCTATCTACATGATTGTTGTGTTTCAAAACCAGGCAGCCAGCACCGGCGGGAGGATCACATCTTCTGCACGGGCTTGATGCCCAGGATGTCGAAGCCCTTGGCCATGACGGTGGCCGTGGCCTCGCACAGCAGTAACCGCCACATGTTCACCTTCAGCACGGCGCCTGGACAGAGAGAGAGAGAGAGAGAGAGAGAGAGAGAGAGAGAGAGAGAGAGAGGTGAGGGTCGGCCTGTGTCCGGGAGCCCCTCCCCGCCGAGCCCCAGCCCCAGGTGAGATCTCGGCCCTCACCGGTCTGCCGGTCCTTCTCCACACAGTAGCAGCTGTCGTAGAAGTCGGTGAAGGTCGTGGCCAGCTCGTAGAGGTAGTCGCACAGCGAGTGCAGGAACAGGTCGTCCAGCGTCTTCTGCAGGACCTCGGGGAAGCGCAGGAGGCAGCGGCCCAGCCGCCACTCCTTCTCATGCTCCAGGCTGATCTTGGTCTCCAGGGCAGCCTTCTGGAGCGTGTGCTCATCCACGTTGGCCAGCCGCGCAATGGACCTGCGGCCAAGGCAAGTGGGGGCTCTGTCTAGAGGGGGAGGGCCTGGGCGCTGCCGGGTGCCCGTGGGGCTGGGTTTAGGGGAATGCGCCGGGTGCGGCATCCGGCGTGACCTTCCACGTCTGGCGGGCCCTCCAGGGCAGGGCCTCTGGGGCCTCTGGGAGGCCTACCTGATGCGTGTGAAGGCGTACAGCAGGTAGGCGGCCGTGTTCCCGCGGTCGTCCAGCATCTTGTCGAAGGAGAAGACGTAGTCGTTGAGCCGGTTGTGGGACAGGTCCGAGTACTTGATGCAGCCGTAGGCCACCGAGCTCTGCGCAGCCCGCAGCTCCTCGGGCGTCAGGACCTGACAGGGCAGAGCCACGCCTCAAGACTCCCCGCCACACCCCAGCGGCACCAGGGAACCAAAGCCAAAATCAACCACCCTACGAGAGATGGCCTCAGAGTACAAGCCTGAGACCAGACTCGGCTACACAGCCAGACTACGTTACCCAACCCCAAAGAAGAGCAGAGACAAAGTACAGCAAAAACCATGAGGGCTGGGAAGGTGGCTCATGGCAGAGTGTTTGCCTGGCATGCATGAGGCCCCAAATCAGCAGAAAAAGCTGGAAGTGGTGCTGTGGGGCTCAAGTGGTAGAGCGCTAGCATTGAGCTGAAGAGCTGAGGGACAGCGCCCAGGCCCAGAGTTCAGGCCCCACGACAGACAAAAAATAACTATGAAATGGCTGTAGTTAGACCCAGCTCCCCACTAATTACCTGGAATGTGGATGGAGTTCTCCAGTTAGAAGAGGAAAAAGACTGATTTACAAACCAAGGAGCAGAACCTCACTTGAGTTCTGAGGCTGAGGCCCAGGGAGGGGACTGTCGGTGCAGCGGGGGCACAGGTCACACGCTCCATGTCCGTCCCCATGTGTCAGCCCGCCGTGCCAGGCACGCTCACGCTACAGGCTCTCAGCCCCAGTGTGTGAAGCTGGCTCCAAAGCGCAGCCTTGGTCTAGCGTGAGCGAGGAAGCCAGCTGCAGGGCGAGGCCGGGCCCTACCTTGTCCCGTTCCTTCTCCTTCAGCTTGTCCATGGAGCGCCTCATCCCCTCCTCCAGAAGGTCTGTAAGGCGCACCGTTTCACCGGAGCGTGTCTTAAACTTCTTCCTGAAAACACACAGACGCCCCGTCGCTTGGACCCGGGACCCGACCTCCCAGGAACAGGTCTGACGTCCCATCCTTCTAGACCTGCTCTCTGCCCATGCCTCAGCCAGCCTCCAGGAAACAGCCGTTTCTAGCCGGCTTAGTTTCCTAGAGTGCAGCCTCCCGTTAGCCGCTGTGCCCCTTCACAACACGCAGCTGCCTGGTGCCTCGGCCAAGGCAGCTCCAGCAGCACACAGAAAAGCTTGGAGGGCTTTCTAGAAGAAGGCGGGGCCCATCTGCAGTTGGTGCCCGGGGGGAGGCTACGGCCGGGGCCTGAGCTAGAGCCCCACCCACACCTCCGTGGGGGAGGGGACAGGCGTGGGGCACCCACAGCTCCGCGGGGGAGGGGACAGGCGTGGGGCACCCACAGCTCCGTGGGGGAGGGGACAGGCGTGGGGCACCCACAGCTCCGCGGGAGAGGGGACAGGCGTGGGGCCCACTTACTTGTCCTCACCAAGCACCACGCCGAAGCCGGCGTGGGTTACGCGGGTCACCTGAGGGTCGTACCAGCCCATCATCTGAGCAGCCGCAAACACCGTCTGGAAGTGCACAGCCTGGGGAGGGCGGGGAGGCGGGAGTGAGTGAGGGCGGCTCTGGGCCCCGCCAGCCCACCGCACACGGCACTCCCTTAGCATGTGCCAGGCTCCAGGTTCAATCCCAGGCACCAGTGGAAAAGCACATGAATGAGTAAATAAAAACAAGTTGTGTCTGTTGTCCTGGCACTGGAGAGGCTGAGGGAGGAGGATTCTGACTCACAGCTCAGCCTAGGCTACATACTGGAGTGAGTGAGACCCCAGCTCAAAAATAAGCAAACGTGAGCTGGGAAGGTAGCTCAGTGGTAGAGCGCTTGCCTTGCATGCATGAGGCCTGGGTTCGAATCCTCAGTACCACATAAGCAGAAAAAAAAGCCGGAAGTGGCGCTGTGGCTCAAGTGGTAGAGCACTAGCCTTGAGCTGAAGAGCTGAGGGACAGCGCCCAGGCCCAGAGTTCAGGCCCCATGACTGAACTCCCCCCCCCCCTCAAAAAAAAAAAGCAAAGCTCACCTCAGGTGTTTCTAGGAAGAGCAGCTGAGCCCCGCCCCTCCCGCACTGTCCCCGGGGACACTGGACTGCTGCACATCTGGGTGCGTGGAGGGCCTGGCCTGTCCTCCAGGGCCACAGCCCTGCCTCTCCGCTGCATACCTGCCCGCTGTCCACCACGTAGATGATCATGTCCGCCTTCTCCTCCAGCAGCCTCTGTTTGATGGCAGCCAGGTCCGAGGTGTCGTAGGTGTAGCCCCCGTCCGACTTCACAACGGTCAGCGGTACGGAGCACCCCGGGACAAACATTATCTTCCTGCCCTCGTCCACCTGCACAAACCCTAGCGCAGAACAGCAGGAACTCGGTCAATGATGTGGGAGGTGGGGCCGGGAAGGCGGCTCAGCCGTAGAGCGCTGGCCTACCAAGCGTGAGGCCCTGGGTTCCATGCCTCAGTACCAAATACACAGAAAAAGCCGGAAGTGGGGCTGTGACTCAAGGGGTAGAGCGCTAGCCTTGACCAAAACAGAAGCTCAGGGACAGCGCCCAGGCCCTGAGTTCAAGCCCCAGGACTGGTGAAAAGAAAAAAAAAAGGGCGATACAGACAAGGGCCAGCCCGCGGTCCTAACCGACAGGCTGAGGGCTGGGGATGTGCACTGGGGCTCACTACGAGTCCTCTCCACTCGTGCCTGTGCTGAAGAGTTCAGAGACACTAAGTGCTGGGAGGGGGCTGCGGTGGGGACAGGAAGCTCATGGGCTTTGGAGCGCAGCTGGGACACACAGTAGGACCTGCGTCAGACCACACCCCCCACAGCCTACCTTTATCCTCAAGCTCCTTCACAACAACTGGCATCCTGTCCTGGTAAAAGGATTCTCCCCTCTCGATTAAAGAGATGTCCAGCGCATCGTAGATTTTACTAAATTCTGAAGGAAAAACAACCCAGAGTACAATTATGAACACCTTATATTGAAAAATAGCTGTAATTAAAAAAACATCGCAGGAAATAAATTACATTCAGTAAAGCAGTCTGACACAGACTCTCACATGCTGCCATTTCGGGAAACCAGGGTGTCTTTTAGGTGTGTGTGGCCACAGAGCATCTCAGTACCGCAAGGGGCCTGGCAGCGAGGCCTGGGCCTACTGCCCTGGCCACCAAGAGGCTGCTGGAGCAGGCTGCGTAGCCCTGCACTTGGAACCTTTGCCGTGAGCACAGGCCAGGAACCAGCCACACCTGAGTAGTTTCCTTTTTCTTTTGTTGTTCATGGGGCTTCAACACTGGGCCTGAGTGCTGCCTCTGAGCTCTTCAGGTCAAAGCAAACACTCTACTACTTGAGCCACAGCGCAACTTCTGGTAGTTTACTGGAGGTAAGATTTTCAAAGCCTTTCCTGCCTGGGCTGGCTTTAAACCACGATCCTCAGATCTCAGCCTCCTGAGTCGCTAGGATTACAGGCGTGAGCCACCAGTGCTGGGCACAGAAAAATAGTGGAAATTAGGGCAGAAATGAAGGAACCCCAAGACGAGTCAATCTGCAGGGGAATTTTGTGAAGTTTTCACAGAATTCTCCACTATCTAGCCTGAAAAACAATAGGGAACACTAATGAATACTCATTCTATGAAGCAAGTTGATGAATGCTGATGCACACATATCTCAACAAAATCCTTGCAAACTGAATTCAACAGCACCACATTAAACAGATCGTATACCACACCCAAGGTGGTCCACTGCAGGCATGTATGTGCAAAATACACAAATCACTAAATGTATCACATCACAAAAAAGAATCAAGAACAAAAGCCACACGACCGTCTCAACGATGCAGAAAAGGCCTTTGGCAAAATTCAGCAACCTCCTATGTTAAAGTCTCTGAAGAAACTAGGAATAGAGGAATGTATCTGAAATTAATAAAGGCTGCATATACCTATAGCCACTTGTATATTAAGTGGAGAAAAAAAAGTGGAACTGTTGTCCCTTAAGTCAGGTATAAGAGCAGTAAAAGAGAAAAAGAAATTAAAGTTGTGAAGGAAGACGTCCCTAAGAGCAGATGATCTAAGTCCCTATAGACTCCCCCACAAAAGTTCAGAACCAACGTATGAAACCAATAGCCAAAACCCAGTAGCTTTTATATACCAATAACAAGAAACAAAACAGAAAAACAACAGACTCAAAAACAGTAACATCTAGGTTTAACCCAGGAAGTGAAAGCGAATGAAAACTATGAAACCTGGAAGGAGCCAGAACACAGTGGCTAACACCCAAATCCTACCTACTCAGGGTGCTGAGATCGGAGGATCATGGCTCAAATCCAGCCCAGGAAGGAAAAAAAAAATCCAGGAGACTCTCACTTCTAACTAACCACCAAAAACTGGAAGTGAAGCTGAGGCTCCAGGGCCAGAACATCAGCCTTCGGCAAAAATGATCAGGGTTAGGACCCAGGCCCCGAGTACAAGCCCTTAGACAAACCAAAAACCCTGAAAGAAAGCTGGGTAGAATAGCTCATAACTTTAATCCTAGTTACTCAAGAGGCTCTGAAATCTGACCCCTGCAGTTGGAAGCCAGCCAGGCAGGAAAAGTCTGAGACTGCTAAAGTAACCAACAAAAAGCCACAAGTAGCACTGTGGCTCAAGCGGAAGTGTAAAAAAGCTAAAGGACAACATGCCCACAAGACCCAGCAGTGGCACAAAACACAAACTGAAGATACCAAAGATGAAAAGATCTTCCCACACAAATAACGTAGCCATAATACCAAAAGCAATCTATAGATCTGATTCAGGGTTCACCCAAATCCCAGCATTATTCATGACAGAATTAAAGCCAATCCCAAAACACAGAGGTATAAAACACCCCAAACAGCGAAAAGTTATTCTAAGTAAAAAGAGCAGTGCTGGAGGCCTCACAATACCATACTTGTAATTACGCAACACAGCGAACAACTCAGCTCGGTACCAGCACAAGAACTAGACGGGAGTTCAATGGAAGAGAGTAGAAGACCCAGAGCTACTGCTGGCTGATTTTTGAGCAGAGGAACCAAAAACATACACTAGAGAAAAGACAACCCCTTCAATAAATGGTGCTGGAACCGGGGTGCCCATTTGCAGCAAACCAACACTGGATCCGGGGTCCCACCCAATACAAATAAAACAGGTCCAAAGCGCTCCATGGGAGGCTTGGGGCAGGGAAGCCTTGGAAGGCCCTGGTAAGTGTTTTCTGAGTGATTCCGGCTGCCCGGAGGATGGCTGCAGGAACTGCAGGAGGACTTTATCAGATTAGAGTTTCCACCCAGCAAAACAGTCACCAGAACCCAGAGACAACCTACACAAAGGCAGACCACCTTTGCCAGCTACACCACCGATAGCTGACCTCTGAGGATTGTGATCTGAAGTCAGCTCGGGCAAGAAGTCCGTGAGACTTTTATCCTCAATTAATTACAGAAAAAGTAGGAAGTGGCCCAAGTGGTAAGAGTGCTAGCCTTGAGCAAAAGTAGCTCGGTGACAGCACTCAGACCCAGAGTTCAAGCCCCAAGACTGGGGGAAGAAAAGGGCTCAACATCCTTGGCTACAGAGGAAATGCAAATCAAAATCATAACTTTCTATTCTATCCTAGTCAGAGCTGCAACCATCCAGTAAAGAAATTCTGGCAAGAATGCACACTGTTAGTGGGAACGTAAAGTTCAGCACGGAGGTTCCTAAAAAACTGAGACCTTCCTTAGACCGCACAGCACCTCTCTCGGGCAGTCAATCAATACACCAGCAAGACAACTGCGTTATCTATTTACTGCAGCCCTGCTCGCCACAGCCAAGGTGCCCAACACAGGTGGCAAAGGAGAATATGGACTATGACACAGCCAGCAAGAAAGGTGGAATGACATCATCTGCAGGAAAGGGTAGAGAACGTCCCACTGAGCAGGACAGACAAAGCGCAAACAAGAGGGTATCGATGGTTTTGTTCAGGTGTGGAGGTGAGATGCCCAAGACAGTCACGGACGTGGACACACACCTGCACCTGCACACATGAGCAGACACACATGGACAAACGCAGAATGCAGGAGGGTGAACCGATGGACATTAATAAAACAGCATAGCAACCTCAGTGAAAGCAGCCGCTGCTGGGGAGAGGGACTAGCCAGGGGTGAAGACGACGCACACACAAGCAGACTACCTGCATGTCTGAAAACAACACGGAATCCGTGGGGGGAGGGTGGGGGGGGGCGGGGCTGGCGGACACACTCTATACATTTGTGGAAAGCCAATAAAGAAATCCTCCGGTGTGACTAAGGTATGCCCACACTTGACCTTTCTGAGCTGTTCATTTCAAAACATTTAAGCAAAATCTTCCTGCTCACACTCAAGTTTAGGGACATGGCTCAACTGTGAATCATGTGCACAGCATTCAGGTTTGGTCCTCAGCACACCATGATAAAGAAACATAAAGGCTCAAGAAAATTACACACAGCTGATTGAATGTTCTAGAAACTCACCCGCACGGGACACGTCACAGATGAGGTTCCAGGCTTTAATTATGTCCGGGTTTTTACTCTGCAGCAGAACCACACACTGGTACGCGCGCTTCTTAAAGTCTTCTTCACTATCAAACCTCTTCTTAGATTCCTGTGTTGTAAAAGGAGTGAGGTTTGAACTTAAGACCCGATCCCACTCTTCCAGAAACGGCATCTGCTCACTTCTGGACACTGGCATGCATGCGCGCGCGCGCACACACACACACACACACACACACACACACACACACACGAAAACACACAGCAGAACACTCCCTCTACATCGTAGCCAAGGATGCTGCCACAGGTTAAGGGGATTTTGGGCTGAAAGGGGTGTATCACCAACTTGGCAAGATCTGTCAAAACAAACAACTCAGGGACTGTGCTCAGGCCCTGAGTTCAAGACCCAGGGCAAGCACCAAAAAAAAAACCCAAAAACCAAAAAACCAAAAAAAACGTACTAATGGCTGGGGAAGCGGCTCTGTGGTGAGCTGGTGAGCTTCTGCCTAGCATTTGGGGCTCGGGGTGGTTGATCGCCCTTAACAATGTGGCCTGGAGTGGAGGAACTCAGTGTGGGGGCCGTGGGTACAGAGGCCCACAGGTCTGTTGCTAGGCAGTCACACAGATGGACCTGGATGGCAGAGCCCACCTCTGAGGGCTCAGTGACGTGGCTTTGTTTCCACGTGCGTGACATAGTTTCACTAGCTACCTGGGAGGCACATGTGTGTAAAAACATTCCCGTGTTTTGCGATGTTCAAGAAACCACCTCTGCTGGGCACTAGCAGCTCATGCTTGTCATCCTAGCTACTCAGGAGGCTGCGATCTGAGGATGATGGTTCAAAGGCCAGTTGAGGCAAGAAAAGTCCATGACATTTTTTTTTTTTTGGGTCCAGTCGTGGGGCCTGAACTCTGGGCCTGGGCGCTGTCCCTCAGCTCTTCAGCTCAAGGCTAGTGCTCTACCACTTGAGCCACAGTGCCACTTCCGGCTTTTTTCTTTTTGCTTATGTGGTACTGAGGAATCGAACCCAGGGCCTCATGCATGCAAGGCAAGCACTCTACCACTGAGCCACCTTCCCAGCACCAAGTCCATGACATTTTGATCTCCAGCAAACCACCAAGCTCAAGGACAGTGCACAAGCCCTGAGTTCAAGCCCCAGGATCAGCATGAAAAGAAAAAAATAGTAAAATAAGAAAGCACATGTCTGTGTAGCAGAGCCACAACGTAACTGTGTAGTAGATGTCGGATACTATTCCTAACAGCCTAAGGAGACACAGAATGTTCTTTCCTTTTACACTGTAGTGCTGACCCTGAGCTTTCCTGCTTAAGGCTAGCGCTCTACCACTGACCCACAGCTCTATTTCCAGTGATTGGAGGTAAGAGTATCAAAGTCCTGGGTTGGGAATGTGGCTTTGTGGTAGACTGCTTGCCTAACATGCATGGAGCTGGGTTCCACTACTCAGTACTAAACAAACAAACAGAAAAAGCTGGAAGTGGTGCTGTGTCTCAAATGGTAGAGCGCTAGCCTTCAGTAAAGCTCAGGGACACTGCCCTGAGTTCAAGCCACAGGACTGGCCAAAAAATGTCTCAGTCTTGCCTGTCCAGGCTGCAGCTAGGATTAAAGGCATGAGCCACCACCCCTGACAAAGACACAGAATGGTAACAAACGGTATGCTACTAACAAAGGTGACACACCTTGTAGAAGGCCTGGAGATCTCCAATGGGAGGCGACACTGTGAGGTAGTCTGGGAACTTATCCTGCAGGTGGGCGATGAGCATGCCAAACTGGGTCCCCCAGTCTCCCACGTGGTTCAACCTGACACCAAAGCACAATGACACAGCTAAAGATCACACACAGTCAGCAGCTCCACTTCTGGCTTTTGAGAAGACATAAGTAAGAATCTTTGGTTCCAGGCGCTGGTGGCTCACGCCTGTCATCCTTGTTACACAGGAGGCTGAGATCTGAGGATCACGGTTCAAAGCCAGCCCAGGCAGAAAAAGTCCATGAGACTTATCTTCAATGAACCGCCAGAAAACCAGAAGTGGCGCTGTGGCTCAAGTGGTAGAGCGCTCGCCTTGAGCTGAGGGACAGCGCCCAGGCCGGCTTTGAATTGCGAGCCTCCAGAGTGGCTACAGTGATAGGTGTGGTCCGCCAGCGCCCCTGGAGTCTCTTGCTCTTTGCCTAGGTCACTTCCAGAGTGGCTGGAATAGACATGGGTCAGCGTGTCTGCACTGTTCTTTGCTAGGGCCTCCCCGGTTTTGACTTGAGCTGGCTTCAGATTATGGTTGCAGTCTTTGCTTCCTGTGGCCTGAGCCACAGCATCTGGCCCAAATGTTATTAATGGATGTGATTCCTTTCTCATTTTGTCAAATGCCAGATGAATTCCTCAAGTGGACAGCAACCTGCTTACCGAGCCTGTGGCCACGCCATCTCTCTCTACTAGCCAGAGGAAACCCCGATTTCCCACAGGGCCATCGTGTCCCAAGTCTGTCCCGGCCTGCCCCTGCCCCACTAGGGACACAGAGAGCACGCAGAAAACCTCTACCGGTGGGAGGAATGGGGACTTACCCCCACCCCATTCCAGTCTATTAACGGTAGGAAAGGAAAGGGCACCTGGCAAGGGCCTGGCACGAATCTGCCGGGCGGGCAGGGTGCCCGTGGGCAGCAGCAAGCGCACACACCTACCTCAGCACGTCGTAGCCCGCAAACTCAAAGAGGCGGGCCACGCTCTCTCCGATGATGGTGGACCTCAGGTGGCCCACGTGCATCTCCTTGGCTATGTTGGGAGAGGAGAAGTCAACCACAACCTGCACGGAGAGGAGAGAGAAAGATCCTCAGGCCTGGCATCACCACTTCATTAGCACCGATTAATGATGTATCGAATCTGGGCAGGCAGCGGCAGCTGCAATTCACGTGTGCTGGGTTTTCTTGGTCATCTACGTCTACGTCAGTAGCTGACCAGATTCACGCATACCCTCACCGTCTCTTTGGGTTATACCTGCGTACATGTCCTTCTCTACCTCCGCTGTCATAATGACGTGGAGAGAGCCCCACAGGCCCATTAGAAATGTGATTTGACAACTGTGTTCGTAATTGGGAAGCGAAGACCCTTTCCCCCGGGGCATTTCCACGCACTCGTGTTGAGGGTCACACACGTACCTTTTTATTCTTCCCCAGGGCAGGCAGGTGAACCCCGTTCACTAGGAGATGGGACAACCGCTCTGACACAAAGCCTTTTCTGAGGTGGACGTTAATGAAGCCTGATGGAGGAAAAGAGAACCACGTCAGAAGGCCCCGCCCTTTCCACAAGACCAAACCCCCAGCGTCCTTACCCGAGCTCCTCGGGCCCCAGAACCAGATTAAACGAGGCAGACTACCCAGAACCCCTCTCCCGAGGCCCACCTGGCCCCCAGCACCACGGAGGCCTTATCTAGGTCTCTTGGTGCTCCTGCCCCTGTCTTCAAAGCTTCCTGCTCATTTCAGGGCCCATTCACTCCCAGCTTAACAGAAAGCAGAGACCTTTAACACGGTTCTGACCATCATCGACCTGCTTTTCCTGAAGAAAAACCAAAGGAGCCAAAGCAACCCACCCCAAATGGCAGCTCTAAAATGGTCGCTGAGTCTGGGGGACAAACTCCACTTCTCAGCTTGTAGTCCTGGGAGGTTTTTACCACCTGGTCCAGTACACAAAGGTGAGCTGTTGTGTGTGTGTGCACTTTTCAAATACTGAGGATGAAAGCTAAGGCCTCTGCAAACTAGACAGACACCCTGCTCCATCCTGATTCTTTAAAAACTTTTAGTCAGGATCTCACTAGGCTGCCCAGGCTGGCCTTGAACTTGGAATCTTTCTGCCCCAGTCTAAGCAGCTGGGATTACATGTATCATTCCTGGCAATTTTTTTCAGGGGTGGGTGGGGTGGCACATGCCAGGCAAGCATTTTATTAGAGTCACACCCCTGGCCCTAGGACATGATTTTTTTTGGTGTGTGTGTGTGGGGGGGGGGGGGGTCAGTTATGGGGCTTGAAGTCAGGGCTTGGGTACTGTTCCTGAGCCTTTTTGCTCAAGGTTACCACTCTACCACTTTGAGACACAGTGCCACTTCTGGTTATTAATTGGATGTAAGTCTCAGGGACTTTCCTGCCTGGGCTGGTTTTGAACCACAATCCTCAGATCTCAGCCTCCTGAGTAGCTAGGATTACAGGTATGAGCCATGGTGCCTGGCCCTATGATATAAATTTGATGAATACTCCTTTTCCTTCTTAATTTCATAAACTACTTAACATCAATACAACTATTAAAAAAAAACTATGTTGAGTAGAGCAAGGAATACATTTAAAAAGGGAGTGGGTGAGAACAAAGATAAGCCAGATGCCAGTGGCTCACTCCTGTAATCCTAGCCACTCAGGAAGCTGAGAACTGAGAACTGAGGTTCTAAGCCAGCCTGGGCAGACTCTTTCTGAGTGTCTCTTTATCTTCAATTAGCCAGAAAAAGAACTGGAACCAGAGGCCCAAGTGGTAGAGGGATTGAAAAGTCGAGTAAGAAGGTGAGCCTCATAGTTCCGGTTCCAGTGCTAGTGGAAAACCAGACACCAAAGGAAGAGCATAACACAGCATACCAGGACCAGCGATTTCAACGTTTTCAATGTACTCGTTTTCTGGCAAGTGCTTGGTAATGTTCTGGGCGATTTCTCTTGGATTCACTTTCTGTTCCTTGGCTTTGAGCATCTGTAACACCATGTAAGACAACTAATTACATGACAGGCTTTTATCAAGTTACTTGGAAATGGGGGACGAAACGGGAGATACACTCCTCGACCTCCCGGTGGGGGCACAAGCGAAAGCACCAACAGGCCAGGAAGGGAGAAGTGTGGACAGATGCAGATCTCCATCCCAGATGCATCGCTCGCACACTGGGACGCACAGCAGAGTTGGAACTGAGGCAGCCAGTCTCCACAGTCTACCTTTCTAATTGTTAAGTAATAAGCAGGCTGCACAGAAGCTGGCCTCCTCCCGCCCTCCCTCCCACAGAGCCACCATACACGCTCTGGCTCTCTCTGCAAGGCCACAGCAGGACATCGGTCACAGCCGCAGGTGCTTGCTGGGGTAGCTGCTGAGCATCTGGCTGACTCAGTTCCCTGCTTCCTAGTAGCCACAAGCACATGGCAACCCTGGCCACGGCAGAAAGAAAGCACCACACCAGAACTACTGCAAGTAAAAACACCCAGTGTCTGTACAGAGTTGAACAGAAAATTCCTGTTGTGGCAGGAAGAATGATTACGATATGGCGTAAACTCGTGTGGAAGCGTAACACTGAGTGCTTCCCCTCCACCCCATGCCAAGTAATGTACACCAATAAAAACCTCTGAAACACGCCTGTCACGTTTCCAGGCTGCGTCCTTTTTTTACGAAGGCCATAACCATCCGCTATGCACAGGTAGCGTGACCCACACAGAGGACGGGAGCAGCGTGTCACCTGAGAAATGCCCATGGCACTGTTGCACTGGTAGTCCCCAAACTTGGGCTGCTGGCTGGGCGTGACGACCAGAGGGGGGCTCTCCAGGTCCGGGTAGGCGGCCCTGATGGCGCACCGGAAGACGTCCTGTAGACGGCTGTGGATGTTGATCATGTTCTTAGTGGGTCGGTTCCTTTCTGCCTGAAGACTCTGCGTGAAAAAGGAAACCGTGCCCCTGAAGCAATACACCACACAGAATCGCAGAATGTCCCCAACACTGACGCATCTGGGGACAAACCAGAGGAGGACAGGCACTCGGGCACACGGCTGTCCTCCCGGAGATGCGCTGAGCCGTGCGACGGGGCAGCCAACGAGTCCCTTCAGGGGACGCTCTGAGGTCCTTCCTCTTTCTTTGTTCTTAGTGTCTGTACTGGGGCTTAGAACTCCCACTCAGATTTTTAAAGACGATGTACTACCACTGGAGCCACACCTCCACTTGTGGCTTTTTGCTGTTAAACTGAAGGATGAGAGTTTCAAGGATTCAACTGCATGGGCTATCTTTTAACTTTCAGCTCGCTGAACAGGTTGGATTACAGGTGTGAGCTGCGAGAGCCTGTCTGAGGTCTTATTTCTACATTTTTTTCTTTTTTCTTTTTGTCGGTTGTGGGGCTTGAACTCTGGGCCTGGGCACTGTCCCTCAGCTCTTCAGCTCAAGGCAAGCACTCTACCACTTGAGCTACAGCACCACTTCCAGTTTTCTGGTAGTTTATTGGCTGGGAAGGTGGCTCAGCGGTAGCACACTTGCCTTGCATGCCTGAGGCCCTGGGTTCAATTCCTCAGCACCACATAAGCAGAAAAAAAAAAGCCGGGAGTGGCGCTGTGGCTCAAGTGGTAGAGTGCTCACCTTGAGCTGAAGAGCTGAGGGACAGCGCCCAGGCACAGAGTTCAGGCCCCACAACCGGACCCCTCCCCCCCCCCAAAAAAAGTTTCATGGACTTTCCTGCCCGGGCTGGCTTTGAACCGCGATCCTCAGATCTCAGCCTCCTAAGTAGCTAGGATTACAGGTGTGAGCCACTGGTGCCAGGCTCTTCATTTATTTTTATCAGAACAAATACCAAGAGGAAGGTGTACAAAAGCTGACAGAATCCTCTTCAAGTCTGGAAGACACTGAGTGAGCCCCTTCCAGCAAACCAGATGAAAAGCCAGCTAGCTACATGGCCCAGACAGGACTCAAAGCTCACGGTTAGCCTGGGCCACACAACCAGACCCCGTCTCAATACACAACAGAAGTCAGGACACATCAGAGAACAGTGAATGTTGTAACCAGAAAAGTGGGAGGCTTTTTGATGACGAGTCTGCGGGAGAAAAGTCATGAGTTCAGGAAGGTCAAGCACAGCAGATCCCCTGCTAGATAACAGATCTGCGAAGGGAGTAAGCAGGACCCAGGCAGGAGAGTGGGCTGGCTCAGGAAGAGCAGCCACACCAGGAAACAATTATGGGAATGAGGTCATACATTAGGATGAGTCCTCAGCAAACCTGAAAGGCAAGCAAAAAACCTGACGCAAGCTCATTTTTTTTATTTCGTAAAACTTCGTATGAGCCTAGCTACTCAGGAAGGACAAAGACAGCCCAGAAGGAAAGTCTGCTGAGACTCTTATCTCTAATAAGCACCCCAAAATCCAGAAGCAGAACTGTGACTCAAGTGGTAGAGGGCTAACCTTGAGCAAAAAAAGCCTCAGGAAAGGCACAAAAAACACAAATACAAAAGATAAAACCTACGTTATAAGGCCCTTAATGAACAGAACACAAGATTCATGGGGGAAAAAGTTGTAAAATTCAGATGGAATAACCCACAAATGATGCTATACAACAAAAAAGAAAAATAACTTTTAGGCCAGAGAAAGTTAAGCATTTCCCTTTTTCAGATAGGGGCAGTAGCCTGTAATCCTAGCTACTCTGCAAGGAGATTCAAAACCAGCCCCGGCAGACATGCCCGTGAAACTTGCCTCCAATTAACCAGTACAGAACTGGAAGAGGTATGGCTCAATTAGTGGGACACCATCTCAAAATATCTAAGAGAGCTCAAGGCCTGTAGTTCAAGCACCAGTACTGGTAGATGCCCCCTCCCCACCAAAAAAGAGCAAGGTAGAAGTAATGATTTAAAAATGAGCAAAAAACTTTCACAAAAACTGTAATCAGACCAGGAATATTTTTGAAATAACAGTTCTTGGCTGGGTGGTGGCAGCTCACGTCTGTAATCCTAGCTACTCAGTAGGAGGTTGAGATCTGAGGACTGTGGTTCCAAGCCAGCCCAGACAGGAAAATCCGTGAGACTCTAATCTCTAATAAACTACTCAGAAAAGGCCAGGAGTGGCACTGTGGCTCTAGTGGTAGAGGACTAGCCTTGAGCAAAAGAAGTTGAGGGACAGAGCCCAGGCCTTGAGACACAAAACAACAACAAAAACAAAAACTGTTCAACTTGCCCACGTAGGCCAGAAACCCAGGCCAGGAGACTCAAAATAACAACAAAAACCAAAACCGTTCTATTCGTTCTTCTGGAGGTCTGCTGTAACTCGTAACTCCCACAGACAGTAACCCTACCTTTGGCCGCAGGGCTGTCCCCCGGCCATTTGTACCTCACTGTTCCAGCCTCCTAGAGGTCGGGTGTAATGTTATCTCCACGCCCAGAGCTCAAGCCTTTGGGCTGGTCCCATTTAATCCAGCCTACAAGGGATCAGTTTCTGCTGGTGAATCGTGCAGGCCCGTAGACCCAAGCCCAGAAAAAGTAAATTCTACTTTTGTGCTGGGTCTGGTGGACTTGAGGCTCTGAGCCCTTTAGGCTTCAATTTTATCACTTTCCTGGCACTTTCAGGGGAAGAAAGAAAGGAGAAAGAGAAAAGAAAACCTGTGCTGCCAGGCATGGTGGTGCACACCTTGAAGTCCCAGAGGCAGGAAAATGGAAGAATCCAATTCCAGCCTGGACTACAGTGGACTGTCTCAACACAAGCGCTACGTCAGACTAAGAGTTCCAGGCTGCCATTGGCAGTGCCCGCTGGGTCACATGCTCAGCCCTGTCTTGTCTAAGGCTGGGGGACAGACACCATTTCTACCCGCTTTTCCAACATCCCGCCGGCACAGATTACTCACAAAGATTTATAAAAAGATACTGGAGCACTCACCTTTTGGAGTATATTCAGCCGATACTTTAGTTTTAGGTTTTCTTCTTGCAATTTCTCCAAATTTACAGTTGTTTCTAAATAGTCGCCGTTTTTCAACCGGTCGATCTCGGAAGTCAGAGACTTAATCTCTTTTTCCTGTAAAAAAAAAACGCAGTGGGACCACCGTGAGCCTGGTGACCTAAGGCAGGTGGCCCGAGGAACTATTCCCTTCTTTCATCTCCTCACGAGGAAGAGAGACTCAGAGGTGAGGATGGCTTTTCCCCCCCGGACGCCGGCTCCCCTGCCAGCTCATCATCATGACTGTTTTTAAGGCCTGTCCTGAGGCTCCAGTTCCCCTGCGCTGTCGCTCCAGGCTGGCACCCTCCCCCTCCAGCCAGGCCTTCATTTCTGGCTTTACACCCTCCTGCGGGGGCTGGCCTGGCCCTGGGACCCTCAGGCTGGTGCGTGGCCGGGGCTTTGTCCATCTGGTGAACGGGGGGGGGGGGGGGGGGGGTGAGGGCGGGCGGAGGGGGGTGAGGGCGGGGGGGGCGGGGGGGTGAGGGCGGGCGGAGGGGGGTGGGGGGGGGTTAGGGGGGGGGGTGAGGGCGGGCGGAGGGGGGTGAGGGGGGGTGAGGGCGGGGGGGGGGCGGGGGGGTGAGGGCGGGCGGAGGGGGGTGAGGGCGGGGGGAGGTGAGGGCGGGGGGGGCGGGGGGGTGAGGGCGGGCGGAGGGGGGTGAGGGCGGGGGGAGGTGAGGGCGGGGGGGGCGGGGGGGTGAGGGCGGGCGGAGGGGGGTGAGGGCGGGGGGAGGTGAGGGCGGGGGGGGCGGGGGGGTGAGGGCGGGCGGAGGGGGGTGAGGGCGGGGGGAGGTGAGGGCGGGGGGGGCGGGGGGGTGAGGGCGGAGGGGGGTGAGGGCGGAGGGGGCGGAGGGGTGAGGGCGGGCGGGGGGGGGCGGGGGGGTTGTAGGCGGGGAGGGGAGGTGAGGGCGGGCGGGGGGGGGCCGGGCTGAGGCTCCCGCCCCGTCGCTCCTGTCCTCGGCTCACCCCGCGGGGAGCCCGGGGGCCGCCCCCGTGCCGTGCCCCCGCCCCGCCGCCCCCGTGCCCCCGTGCCGTGCCCCCCGTCCCGCCCCCGTGCCCCCCCCCGCCGGCCCGCCCGGCCTCACACCTGCTGCTGCAGCCGCGCCGAGCACCGAGCAACTAGCGCGTCCATGCTCCCGACGGCGCGCCTCAAGTCCAGCGACCGGAAGCGGAAGCCGCCGTCGGCCGGAAGCGGAAGCCCCGCCCTCCGCGCGCGGGGCGTGCCCCCGCCGCCGCCCGGCGCCGCGCTCTCGGCCGCCCTCTCGCGGGAGCCGGCGGCACCGCACCGCGAGCGGCGCGAGGAAGCGGGGCGGGCCGAAGAGACGGGCGCGCGGGCGGGCGCGCGGGCGGGCGCGCGGGGATCGGGTAGAAGAGACGGGCGGGCGCGCGGGCGGGCGCGCGGGGATCGGGTAGAAGAGACGGGCGGGCGGGCGGGCGCGCGCGCGGGCGGGCGGGCGCGCGGGCGGGCGGGCGGGCGGGCGCGCGGGGATCGGGTAGAAGAGACGGGCGGGCGGGCGGGCGGGCGGGGATCGGGCAGAAGAGACGGGCGGGCAGAAGAGACGGGCGGGCAGAAGAGACGGGCGGGCAGAAGAGACGGGCGGGCAGAAGAGACGGGCGGGCGGGGGTCGGAGGGGAGAGGCTCCGTCCGCCGGGCTCGAACCGCAGCCGGGCCGAGTGCGGTCGTCCCCAGTTCATGGAGGCGCAGAAGGTGGCTGGGGACGGCGTGCCCACGCGTGTGCACGCGCGTGAGTGTGTTCATGTGTGTGCACGCGTGTGTGTTCACGTGCGTGCACGTGTGAGTGTGTTCATGTGTGTGCACGCGTGTGAGTATTCATGTGTGTGCACGCATGAGTGTGTATTCATGCGTGTGCACGCGTGTGAGTGTGTTCATGCGTGTGCACGCGTGTGTTCATGCATGTGCACGTGTGTATTCATGTGTGTGCACGCGTGTGTGTTTATGCGTGTGCACACGCGCGTGTTCATGCGTGTGCACGTGTGTGTTCATGCGTGTGCATGCACGAGTGTGTATCCATGCGTGTGCACGCGTGTGTTCATGTGCGCACTGTGTATTCATGCGTGTGCACGCATGTGAGTGTATATTCGTGCATGTGCATGCGTGTGTATTCATGTGTATGCGTGCCTGTGATAGTGTGTACTCATGCGTGTGCACACACAAGGTGGACGGGACCCCTCAGTACACACGTGTGACAGTGTATCTGTGCTGTACACCCATGTGCACACACACGAGGTGCACATGGCATCTTGGTACACATGTGTGACAATGTATCTGTACCGGTACATGCATGTGCACACACACAAGGTGGACAGGGCCCCTCGGTACACATGTGTGACAGTGTATCTGTGCTGATACATGCATGTGCACACACACGAGGTGGACATGGCATCTTGGTACACATGTGCTTCGACACACAGCTGTCCAGGCAGTTGAACACAGTTTAGTCTCTCAGGAAGTCTCTAGCAGACAATTCACATTTGTAGCTAGGCCCCGAGCCTCGGGGTGTCTGGAGTCCCAGCTCCTGAGGAGGCCAGGGCAGGGGGAGGCGGGGTCCAGAGGTCTGCGATCCGCAGGGGTGACACAGCAAGTCCATGACATGATTCTCATGGACCGGTGAGCAAGTCAGCATGCTACACAGTGAGGCCCACAGAGAACCGGAACCCCTGGGGGTCCCGACCTCCCCTCCCCTTCTAGGAAGCTGATGCTCTCAGATCCCACCCACAAGCAAGATGGGGCCGTCTCTCTCCGCCAGCCTGGGCACACTGCCCTCTGCTTGCTGCTCAGGACAAGACTGCCTTACTTCTCAAGGCTGGATAGTATTCCACTGCACATGTGCTAAACTAAGCTCTTGAACAACGGATACAAGACTGAGGAACCAGGCATTTTCAGAGGGAAGGGATGGGAGCTGTCTCCTCCCGTCTGCCCTGCCCGCCCCACCCTGACAGAATAGCCGTGCCCACGCTTGACTGCTGGGCACCCCAGAATTTTGCTGGTACTAGGGTTCGAACTCAGGACCGTGTGCGTGCCAGGCAGGTCCTCTACCACTTTGACCACGCTTGGCCCTTCTCACTTTTTTTTTGTGTGTTGGGTCTCATGTTTAGCTGTGTCAGCTACTAGGGCCGTCCTCTTCCCGTGGCTCCTTCGTTTGGTGGCCAGAGGTTCATCTTAGGAAACACGCTTTTCTTGAAGTGAACTTTGTTCACGTCCTGTTAAGTTTATATCTTGGGCAAAGGAAAAGATCCCAAGATTTTCTTGTGGATGGGGAGATAAGAAATAAATAAATAAAAGGAGAACCAGGAAGCCGAATTTCCAATCGACTGGGGACCTGGAGATGGAACCCAACTCCCGTTATTCAAGACCCACGGGTCCCAGAGGAGGCCGCTGGTCACCCAGGGCACAGACAGCCCCTTTGGGAGAAGGGCCTGAGGCAGAGCAGAAACGGCGACAGTATTGAGAAGATGTGGGCAGAAGACAGTGAACCAAACCTTGGAGGGGGAACGGAGCCCACTGCCCGTCGCGCAAGGCTGGTGCTTGTCGACTCAGTGGGAATGAGATGGCTCCGTGCCAACCCCAAATTTCTGTTGAGCCCCAGTACCTGAGCAGGCCGGTGTTAGTTGGGTGTCCAGGAAGGTGTAGAGATGAGGTCATGGCCGCTGGGAAGTCAGCAGCTCTTCAGCCGGCCGTGTCCAGGTGTCTGGCAGAGGAAGAATTTAGGCAAGAGTTGACTCACCAGGAAAGAGGATCTGGAAAGGAGAGCTAAAGACAAGATTAGAGACCTCTCTACCTCCCCAAGCAATATGCAAATAGGAGGCCATTCAGTCGGAGGAAATAGAGGAGCAGAAAAACCAACCAACTGGCTCCTGTATTCCCTGAGGGCATGGGAAGGAAGGGTCTGGCTTAAAGACCAGGGCTGAACTAAGGGCGGGTACTTCACACAGGCTTGTAAGTGGTAGAGTTCTCAGTCTGGGTGTGCTGTCACATCTTAACCCTGCGGGACTGTCCAACATCCCGTGAATCCAGACTCTCCTGGAAGCCCCTTCCAGGTGGGGGAGGTGCACGGGGAGGCCAGCAGGCCCCTTCCCCCCACACACACTTGGCACGGGTTCTGTGTCAGGCCTGCCTTAAAGTACATCTCCCCAGGAAGGCTGGAAAGGCCGAGTCAGGTGGGAGGAAGCAAGATAGCCCAGGGGCTATTCACATCTCTCCCTGCAGGGAAAAAGCAGCCCGGAGACTTGAGGTTGAAGGGCCAAGGCGAGTGCAGTTCAGCTGGACACCGTCCCGGCTGTGTAGGCCAGACTGTCATCCAGTGAGAGAATGCACGGTAAGGAGTCTTTAGTAGAAGGCCAGCACCATGGTGAGTGCCTGTAATCCCAGCTACTTGCGGAGGCTGAGACTGCAGCTGAGGCCCAGCCAGACCCCATCTCAACCAACCAGCCAGGTGTGCTGGTGCCGGCCTGTTACCCCAGTTAGGTGTTAGATAGGAGATTGTGGTCTGTGAGTGCTATGTGGTCCCGTCTGGACTTGAACCCCTGGAATCAAGCAATGCTCTGGTCTCTAGTAGTCAAGACCACAGGCGGGAACAAACATGCCCAGGAGCTGTTGGCCTGGCTGAGAGGCGGGAGAGGCCACTTTGCCCGGGAGGCGAGCAGCATGGACACAAAGGCACCTCCTAGCTCGGGACAAGAGAGAGTCATCTTCGGGACTTTTAGATTGCTCACTGGCCTGGGTCCCTCCCCCTGCTGGCCCCCTTCCTCCCCCTCCCCTCCTCGAGAAACACAGTTGACAGTGGAGAGAAAGAAGACAGGATTCGCGGGCAGATGGGCTCGCTGTGTGTGTGTGAGCGGGGGCCATTCATCTCACATTTCCGGGCTGGCTTCCAGAAGATTCCAGAGGGACACCTGCGTGACTCCCAGGGGGACATTGCTAATGGGCTCTTCAGCGTCTCCCACAGCGACCGCACTGTTGGCGGTTCACCAGTGGCTGGTTTCCACGGAGACCTTCCCAGCCCGGCCGGAAGCCACGCTGGGAACGCGGGCCGGCCTGGGGCTGGCGCTGCCCGCGGGGAGGCGGCCAGGGCTCTGCCCTCGGCAGCCGCACGAGGCCTCGCTGACCTCAGCCGTGGCGCGAGGATCGAGGTGTTCCTTGGGACCGTGATCCAGCTCGCCAGAGGGACCACAGGCAGAGCAAGAAGCGGCTGTTGGCTGAGAAGGAATTGTTAGATCCCCCTCTCCGCCCCCCCGCCGTGCTCGCCGCCTCTCTGCAGGCTGCATTTCCTTTTTTGTGTGTGTGTGTGCCAGTACTGGGGTTTGAACTCAGGGTTTCATGCTTCTGAGCCTTTTCTGCTCAAGGCTGGTTCTCTACTACTTGAGCCACAGCTCCGCTCTGGCTTTTTGCTGCTGAATTGGAGATAAGACTCTCCACCGACTTTTCTGCCCAGACTAGCTCTGAACCATGATACTCCTGAGTAACTAGGATTACAGGTGAGAGCCACAAGTGCCCACCGGGGACTTACTTTTCTAACCATAGAGGCCCCACGAAGCCAGACCACAGCCAGAGACAGCTCTGAAAAGAGAAAATGCTGTGAGGCTTAGGTCCTCCGCTCCTGGCTAACATCCCAGCCACTCAGGAGGCTGAGATCTGAGGATCGCGGTTCAAAGCCAGCCTGGGCAGGAAAGTCTGGGAGACTCTTTTTTATTTTTTTTTGTCGGTCATGGGGCTTGAACTCTGAGTCTGGCGCTGTCCCTGCACTCTTCAGCTCAAGGCGAGTGCTCTACTGCTTGAGCCACAGCGCCACTTCCAGTTTTTGAGTGGTTTTTATTGGAGATAAGAGTCTCACAGACTTTCCTGCTGGGGCTGGCTTTGAACCGTGATCCTCAGATCTCAGCCTCCTGAGTAGCTGGGATTACAGGCATGAGCCACTGGCACCCGGTTGGGAAACTCTTATCTCCAATGAACCACCAAAAAAGCCAGAAGCAGAGCTGTGGCTCAAGTGGTAGAGCACCAGCCTTGAACAAGAAGCCAAAGAAGAAAACAAGGTTGTATGTTCCAGCTCCAGGCCCGGCATCCCTCCCCCAATAACGAAAACACGTGGGAAACCCAGAAGCAAGGGGAGGGGGCCTTAGAGATGGAGGGCAAAGTCTTCCGAAAAGGCCACTTTATTGATGGACAAACGGCGTTCTCCACAGCCCTCCCCGCACCGGTCAGTGGTTTCACTGGGCCTGAGACCCACGCGGCCTGTCGCCAGCCGGCGCAACGCCGAGTCAGGTGACCACGCCGGCTCCGGGGGGCTCACCAGGAGCCAGGACACACCTCAGAACCCCCTGGCGGCGTCTGCGCTGGGCTGACGTTTCTGTTGTCCATGGCGTACAAAACCCGTGCCGGAGGGAAGGTCAGGTGTGCTGCTGCTGTGGCGTTTGCCGGACCCGGACGTCCGGGGAGGACTCCCGGCCCGAGCCTGACTTCTTATTGCGATCCAGCCTCTAAAACAGGCGAGGCCGGGCTGAACGGCTGGCAGGAGAGCCGCGAGGGACGCTGCTACAGCTCATTTAAATTCTCTTTCCCAAAAATACACTCCTAAATATACAAACTATACAATCTGGTCACTTAATGCTGTTTTTTTTTTTGTATTTTTATGTTTTTCTCCCCCTTATTAATTATTTAGTGTGTGTGTTTTAATCATCATCAGACCCAGCCAAGGAAAACAAACAAACAAACAACTGTGTTCATCTCAAACCAACAAGAGTGCTAGAGGACTTGTAGCTCGGTTCCTTCATATAACCACACATAAATACGTTCGCCACAGGGGGGCGCTGGCGGCCTGCCCGTGGGACACGGGAAATACTTTTCTGGCGATCAGACGTCATCTGCGGACAGGGCTGGAATGTGCAGCGGGGGCTGGGTGAAGAACCCCATCTTCTCCCTGGGAAGGCAAAAGCCGGGCCTCAGCCGGACTCCGGAGGCATTGGCAGCAGGATACATCTTTGCGTGTGGGTGCTAGGAGGCCCAAGGCCTCCTCTACCGGGAGCCACGCCTCAATGCTGGGTCACACACATTCTCTGTGTGGGAGCTTTCCGTTCTGGGTACCGCAGAACCAGTGGGAACCATCACAAATGTATAGGCCAAGGCTGCGACACATATCTATAGTCCCAGATACTTGGGAGGCCGAGGCCGGAAGATCTTGAGTCACAGATTTGCGACCAGCCTGGGCAACACGGTGAGATTCATCCGCCCCCTGCCCCCCACGGACAGATATCCCCTGTAGAAAGATGGGGTGGGGTGGGGTGGGGTGGAAATCTCCCAACTGAGAGCCACTCTCTCAGGGACCCATTAACATGGCCAACTGCCATCTGTTCAAAGCAGGGGCCCTGGATCACTCCCAACATTTGATCTATGAGATCCAGCTCATGCCTGTAACCCTAGCTACCTGGAGGCAGAGAAGAGGAGACTCACAGCTTGAGGCCAGCTAGTCTGGGCAACCAAGTGTCTGAAACCCCATCCAATAGCTGGACAAAGTGGTACCTGCTGCCCTAGCCACACAGAAGCCGGAGATGAGGAGGATTGAGGCTTCAGCTGAACGGGGCGTATCGCAAAACCACCAGAGCACACAAGGCCGGGCCCGGCTAGGTGGAGAACCTGCCCGTCTACCAGCAAGTGCACACCCCAGCGCTGCCACCAAGGCAGAAAAGGCACGTCCGAAGAGCCACGCGGACCGCAGCACCTCCTCAAGGGTTTATGTTCCACAAGAGGGTCTTTTTGGCTATCTGCTGTGTCGTCTGGTTTTTTAGTTTTTGAGTCAAGGTCTTGGGGTCTTGCTGTGAGAGTTGAGTAGCTCAGCATGCCCGAGGGCTGGCGTGACAGGCCTGCACCCCACGCCGGCCTCAGAGGACTCCTTGTTAGTACCCACGCAAACACAGCATCCTCATCAAAGGCCAGCGCAGATCCACCCGCAAGGCCCTCTGGGGGCGGGAGGCCCCACGTGGGGTCTTGCGGTGGGAGACCTGGCTCGTCTGTTTAGTGTCCACCCCCTGGCCGGTCCTCGTCAGTAGCCGCGTGGGAGGGGCCGAGGGGAAAGGCCAGGCAGGGGGCTGGGAGGACCCCAGCATTAGCACGCCAGGCTGGGGCTGAGGCTCGTGGCTGGCGGGAGAGCCTGCGGCGCGGGGTGCGGCTTGGCAGATGGTAGGAAGAGCGCCAGCGCTGGCTGGGGGGACTGAGGAGGGCGGGCGTGCGGGGCAGGGGGTGGGGTGCCCGCTCACCGCAAGGACTGCACCTCTGGGGGCTCCTTGTGGCTCTGGCCCCGGAGTCTGAGCACATCCTTGGCAGCCGACCTCAGCATCTTCTCCGTCTGCAGCTCGGCCCTCTGCTCCGTGCTGTCCACCTGTAGCGCAAAGCCAGCAGGGAGACCCTGAGACACGTGCCTTTCCACGCCCACAGCCCGCAGCCCCATCCTAGCCACTGGAGGGTCGAGGCCAGCCCAGGCAGGAAACTTGGCAAGACCCCTGGTCCACCCCGGGGTTAAGAAACAACATCGCACGCAGCAGGGAGACAGGAAGAGAGAAAACGAGCCTGTGTGTGTGTGTGTGTGTGTGTGTGTGTGTGTGTGTATCTGCCTTCCTCTATGCACAGAGCATCTCCAAGTGACCAAGGCTCACGGTGTGGGATAAGAGACTTCATGATCACCAAGTGCCAGCAGCTCACGCCTGTCACCCCAGCTACTCAGGAGGCTGAGATCTGGGGATCGTGGCTCAAAGCCAGCCTGGGCAGGAGATTCTCATCTCCAACGGACCACCAAGAAGCCAGAAGTAGTAGAGTGCCACCCTTGGGAGAGAAAATGCTCAGGGACGGTGCTCAGGCCTCGCGTTCAATCAAGCCCCAGCACTGGCGCAAAACCCACCGCCAAAGCTGTGTGCAGACCCGAATGTGTCACCGGGAGCCCTGGTGGGAGCGGGCCTTGTGCGGGGGGCCTGGGGGCCGGCCGGCAGCGGGGCGGCAGCCTGGGGGGCAGCCTGGGCGGGAGGGGCTCACCCTCCGCTCCAGCAGCTGGCGCGGCAGCTCCCGCTCCCCCAGGCTCTGGGCGCGCTCCAGCTGCTCCTGCAGCTCCTTCAGCGCCGAGATCTCCTGGGTCAGCTGGTGGTGCCAGGTCCGCGTGGCCTGCAGGTCCAGCTCGAGGTCCAGCAAGGTCTGGAGCGGGCGCTCGGGGCGCAGGGACTGGACGGATGAGGGCTGCGGGGGGGGGGGGCGGCTCCGTCACCAGGGAGGCCCGCCCTCTCTTTCCAACCACAATCCCCACCCCTGACTTCATCTGCAGACTCTCACGCCTCCCGAACCCCGCTGTCTGCAATCCCCCGAGCACCACCGAGCATGGCGCCACCACCACCCTTGCCTAACTGCACTCGTGCTCCAGGCTGGAGGAGCGGGAGATCCACCCAGGCAGTCACGTGACCTGCAGCTGGCCAATCAGAATTGCACGCTCGCCCCTGCCCCATCCATTAGCAGGTAAACTCTGTGGCTGTGGCCGCACAGGTCCACTGGTCCACAGGCCGGCCCTCACCCCGGGATGGAGGGGGGATGGAGGAGGGCAGGGCGGGACCTTCCGGGGGACCCTTACCCTCTTCATGCGGATGCTGCGTCTCTCCAGCGAGTTCCGAACGAAGGCGGGCTTTTTGGACAGGGTAGAGCTGTCACTGTCGCTCCGGTTCAGCTGGGAGACATACACAATCCAGCATGGTAAGAAGACCTTCTAGAAGGTTCTCTGGGGGGAGGGTCACCCAGCCCGGTCCTCCCCTCCTGGGCTGCCCAAGGCCTGAGGGGCCACTCAGCCACACAGCACTGAGGCAAGATGCACAGTGCTCCGGCCTGGCCCCACGCTGAACAAGACGGGGTTCCTCACCGCCTTCTTCCAGCCCCCCCCCCCCAATCCCCAGGAAGCTGGTAATGCTCTTTTGGTCTGGGCTGAACAGCTGGTTAAGAGAAGCCCCCACCCCCCACTCTAAAATTAACTGCTGTGGGGGGAAAACAGGGTAGGGAAACAGAGTGCCCCCCTGTAGTCTAGGGAAATGGCAGGAGAAGATCTCATTAACCAGCAAAAAGCTGAAAATGGTGCTGTGGCTCCAGTGTTAGAGCGCAAGCCTTGAGCACAAAGCTCAGGGACAGCGCCCAGGCCTTGATTCTAAACTCTAGAGCCAGCACGAGCATGTGTATGTGCGCGCGCACACACAGAACAATAACAACAAAAACTACCAATGTTTCTCACTACTGACTCTTATTTTCTCCCAAAATTTATATATATTTCTGGGCCTGGGCGCTGTCCCTCAGCTCTTCAGCTCAAGGTGAGCGCTCTACCACTTGAGCCGCAGCGCCACTTCTGGTTTTCTGGTGGTTCATTGGAGTTACGAGTGTCACAGACTTTGCTGCCCGGGCTGGCTAGGATTACAGGCGTGAACCACTCATGCTCAAGGCTGGCCCTCTACCACGTGACCAGAGCTCTGATTCCGATATGTGCACTTAAAAAAAATTTCTCAGTGAGCCAGGCGCTGGTGGCTCACACCTGTCATCCTAGCTACTCGGGAGGCTGAGATCTGAGGATCACAGTTCAAAGCTAACCCAGGCAAGAAAAGTCCGTGAGACTCTTATCTCCAATTAAGCACCAGAAAACTGGAAATGGCGCTGTGGCCCAAGTGGTAGAGGGCTTGCCTTGAGCTGAAGCACTGAGGGACAGCACCCAGGCCCCGAGTTCAAGTCCTACAACTGACAAAAAAGTGAAAAACGAAGTCATCTTCTCCCTCCGGGAGGCAGAGTCCTGTGAAGAGACTGCCACGCGGGGACACGGAGGCTGGGCAGGTCGGGGAGCCACTCACCCGGCACACGTACTGGCTCTGGGGTCCCGGGGAGAAGGTCTTGGAGCGGATGATGGTGCTCCCGCGGAGGAGCGGCCCGGATGAGGGGGGGCCCGTCCGGTCCTTGGGCCGCACCACCATGGGGGGCGGGGCCGCGGTGTCCGTGTTGGTCTCTTTGTCCACCTGGGGACCGGCGGGGGGTCAGCAGTGCCCACCCCGAGTCTTCCAGCTCGTCCTGCCAGGATGGTCCCCAGGGCTGGGAGTGCAAATCCTCCCCTGGCAACCATCGGAGCGCGGGCTCCCCGAGTTCCCACGGCTTCCCCCCCAGCCTCCTCTCCCCCTCAAGAGAGCTGCTGGAGAGCTTTCTGGAACTACAGGGAGGGCTTGTTTTGAAACCCAGGCTGTGGGTCTTTTTCCTGTCTCCGCACAGCGCTCCCCAGCAAGCACGCACAGAAACACCGGAACGCACACGCGGTCCTCTAAGAGGCAACACTAATACCTTGGCCCTGCACCCCGGGGCCCTGCGTGAGGGTGCACAGGCTTCGGGGGGCCACAGGCACCTCCCGCGGCCGGCACTCAGAATCCACGAAGTCGTGGATGCAAATGCTGCACCGCAGCGTGCAAGAGGAAGCCCACAGAGGCCCAGGAGCCCGAGACCCGCTTTCCCCAAGCAAAGACGTTGGCTCCCTGCAGGCTCTGGTCCCACTGGGCATGGCTGGGGATGACAGGAAACCCCTTTATTCTCAGATTTCTCACGTGTGGTTCAGACCAAGTGTGGTCTTAAAAAAGTGCAAAGCAATTTCTAAAACCAAACTTTTTTTGTCAGTCGTGGGGCCTGAACTCTGGGCCTGGGCGCTGTCCCTCAGCTCTTCAGCTCAAGGCCAGCGCTCTACCACTAGAGCCACAGCGACTCTTCCAATTTTCTGGTGGTTCATTGGAGGTAGAGTTTCAGGGATTACTTTCCTGCACAGGCTGGCTTTGAACCGCGATCCTCAGATCTCAGCCTCTTGTATAGCTAGGATGACAGGCGTGAGCCGCTGGTGCCCGGTTCTAAAACAAAACTTTTAAATTCCCTCATGTGCACTGCACAGTGCAATGGATATGGAGAAATACTCGGCCAGTCTTGAGTTCTTATCAGGTGTGATTTATGTGTGTGCATATGTGTGTGCACGTGTGTATGCATATATGAGCTGGTACTGACTGGGGCTTGAACTCAGGGCCTTGTATTTTTAATTATTTTTTAATTCTCATTCATTAGTGGGACAAGAGGGTTTCAATTCACCTGTCAGCTTATAAGCAAAAAGTATCTTTTTTTCTTGCCAGTCGTGGGGCTTGAACTCAGGGCCTGGGCACTCTCAGTACTCAAGGCTGGCGCTCTACCACTTCAGCCACAACTCCATGTATGGCGTTTTTGCTGGGTAATTGGATGTCAGAGTGTCATGAGCTCTCCTGCCCGGGTTGGCTTTGAACCGTGACCCTCAGATCTCGGCCTCCTGAGTGGCTAGGATGGAGGAGAGAGGAGACAGAGCCGAGGCCTCCATGAACTTCTCCAAAACCACCTGAGGCCGGGAGGCCGGTCAAGGCAGCTGGTGCGGGCTGTCATCCCTGTGGGAGGTCCCGGACGCAGAGCGGGGAACGCTGTCTCCATGACCGGGCTGTTCCGGGGGCCCCAGACTTACCTTCAACGCTGGCTGCTCATCCTCAGCCAGAGAGGCTTTCCTGGAGAAAACGTCCTCTTCTCCCTCCTCTTCCTCCCCCTCCTCGGGCACAGCCTCGTTCTCACTGGTCTCCTCCGTCCTCCTATGACACAGAACACCCGGCTCACCATCCAGAGCCGCACCTCACCCTTCCGGCGGGCTGCCACGTCCCCCCCCTTCCCCCAACACCCAGGGCCTGGCGTCTGCACACACGGTTGTTTAGAGCCGGGGCTGAGCAGAGCGTTCGTGACCCTGGGTTCTCTCTGGTGAGACCCAAAACAAAACACCTAACCAATGAACTGGCTGGGCACTGGTGGCTCACACCGGCAGTCCTAGCTCCTTGAAAGGCTGAGATCTTTTTCTCTTTTTGTCTGCGATTGGGACTCAAGCTTCGCACCTGATCCTTCACTCATTCATTGGCTGGCATTCTACCAACTGAACCACACCTCCAACCCCAGGGGCCGGTTCTTTTCTTTCTTTTTTTTCAGATCTGAGGATCAACATTCAAAGCCATCCTGGGCAAGAAAGTCCATGAGACTCTGTCTTTTTTTTTTTTTTTTGTCAGTTATGGGGCTTGAACTCTGGGTCTGGGCGCTGTCCCTAGCTCTTCAGCTCAAGGCGAGCGCTCTAGCATTTGAGCCACAGCGCCACTTCCAGTTTTCTGGTGAGTTATTGGAGATAAGAGTCTTATGGACTTTCCTGCCTGGGCTGGCTTTGAACCACAAGTCAGATCTCAGCCTCCTGAGGAGCTAGGATTATAGTCGTGAGCCATTGGAGCCTGGCTTCTATGAGATTCTTGTCTCCAATAACCACCCCAAAACCAGGAGTGAAGCTGTGGCTCACGTGGTAGAGTGCTAGCCTTGAGTGGAAAAGTTTGTGGACAGGAAGTGGCGCTGTGGCTCAAGTGGCAGAGCCCTAGCCTTGAGCTGAAGAGCTGAGGGACAGACAGAGTTCAAGTCCCACAACAACAACAAAAAAAAAAAAATTAGAGAAAAAGCTTGGGGACAGTTCAAACCCCAGGACAGACTCATCTATCTATCTATCTATCTATCTATCTATCTATCTATCTATCTATCTATCTATCATCTATCATCTATACACACACACATATACACACACAGAAGTATAATTGGACACTGCTGTGCAGTGTCTACTAAATGCAAAACACACTGGGCCCTGCAGTGACACATATGGCATCTGTCCTGGACAGACAGACACCGCGTCCCTAGGGGAGGAGGCAGTATTCCAGTGTGGAGTCTGATGACTGTCTCCTGCATGTATTCAATACTCTGAGCTCTGTTTTGTTTGTGGATCTTCCAAAAAACACCACCACTGGCGGCAGCAGCAGCCCCCTCCCCCAAATCCTGCGTTCTGGTCCTCTGCTCCGGAGGACTCCAAACAGAGCAGAAGAGGTTGGCACAGAGGCCCGCTGGGCTGTGGTGATGGTGGTGGGAGCGGGTAAGGAGGGGTGGGGTCGGGGGTCTCGGGGCCACCCCAGGACCCAGGGCAGCGCCCAGCCCTGGGGGAGGGTGTGTGGATGCCAGCAGCAGCAGCTGCCTTTGTGAGTCAGGGGCCGGGGAGTTTGAGTGGCAGGAGGAGGGGAGCGGGGGCCGCAGGGGGAACGAACAGAAGGCCGTTGCTAGGAGACAGCTGGAAAAGTCCTCACACAAGCTGGGAATCGAGCTCAAACCAACTGATCTGGTGCCAGGTTCGCAAAGACAGGCAGGACCGGGCCTATTTCTAGCGTCAGGGCTTCGCCTGGGTAAAGGGGGATACAGTGCAGTCCCGGGGTACCAGAGCAGAGCAGGGGCAGTGGGGGGACACCAGGCGGAACACACAAAACCCCCAGGCGGCGTGTGTGGCCTTGCTCGCAGGGCGCCCAGAACCCCGCAGCCTGCGGGGCCGATGCCGCCTGGAAGGCTCCTGGCACCCTGTGAATGTGGAAGAGCGTCATTATCAGCGGCTGGCACAAATGCTAGGGGAAGCACACTTCCGCATCCACAAAGGAGGTGGCACACAGGCGTGGCTGGCCACACACCCGTGGAGAACCGTGTGCACGGCCAGAGCAGACTGGACGACAGTGGACCCGAGCTGGGCTGCTGTGGCTCTGCTTTTGTAACAGACGAGGACTTCCTCTTTATGTGTATTGTTTGCCCTCTGGTCCGAGCTCCCCCCCTCCCCCCCGATGTCATGTCCAGGGATCTCATCCATCGCTCCCCAGGCCTCAGGAGCCTGCCCTCACTCACCAGCCGTCCTCCTCCGCCTGAGAGCCGGCCCGTTCTTCCTGCCTCTTCCTCAACTCCACTATGGTCTGTTCCAGCAGTGCGGACACCGCATCCTGCAGAGGAAGAGGCCATCGGCCGCTTAGAAATCAGAACCACAGGCCTTTGGGCTGGGAAGGTGGCCTAGTGGTACAGTGCTTGCCCAGCGTGCATGAGGCCCTGGGTTCAAATCCTCAGGACCGCATACACAGAAAGATCCAGAAGTGGGGCTCTGGCTCAAGTGGTAGAGTGCTAGCCTTGAGCAAAAGACGTTCAGGGACAGTGCCCAGGCCCAGAGTTCAAGTCCAGGACTGGCAAAAAAGAAGGAAAAAAAATTATAGGTCTTTGTTCCTCTCACCAGCAATTCTGATGATTACACCGTTAGCTAGCAAATGAACTCGGGGTCCAGGATGGGGAAGGAAGGAAAGAACAGAACAATTACAATGGACATGGCAGCTCACGCGGTAGTCCTAACTATGTGGGAGGCAGACATCTGGAGGACTGTGGTTCAAGGCCAGGCTAGGCAAGTTAGTGAGTCTACCATCCCAGAGAAGCTGTTTGTGGTGGCTCACACCTGTAACCCCAGCTAGCTAGGAAGCACAGGCAGAAGCATCTTAGTCTGACAGTGGTGGACAAAAGAATTAAAAGTGAAAAGGAGCCGGGCGCTGGTGGCTCACGCCTGTAATCCTAGCTACTCAGGAGGCTGAGATCTGAGGATCGCAGTTCAAAGCCAGCCCAGGCAGGAGAGACCGTGAGACTCCTATCTCCAATAAACCACCAGAAAACCAGAATTGGCGCTGTAGCTCAAGTGGTAGAGCGCTTGCCTTGAGCTGAAGAGCTGAGGGACAGCGCCCAGGCCCAGAGTTCAAGCCCCACGGCCGACCAAAAAAAAGAAAAAAAAAAAGTGAAAAGGAGCCAGATGCAGGCAGCTCACACCTTTCATCCTAGCTGCTCAAGGGGCTGAAGATCTGAGTGTTAGGGTTGGAAGCTAGCCCGGGTAAGAGAGTCCGTGAGATTCGTATCTCCAATAAACCACCAGAAAACCAGAAGTGGAGCTGTGGCTCAAAGTGGTAGAGTGCTAGCCTTGACTAAAAAAAAGAAAAAGCTCAGGGCAGTGTCTAGGCCCTGAGTTCAAGCCCCATGACAGACCCCGTCCCCCCCCCCCCCAAAACAGTGGAAAGGGTCAAAAGGGAGATGGCCAAGCGGTGGAGGACCTGCTTTGCAGATAAGCCGAAAACAACAAAAATGGAACAACCGAGGGCCTGGGCTATGGTGCGCACCCCAAGTTTAGAGAAGACAGAGAAGGGGTACCCCAAACGCAGAGAGGAGCGAGGAGGTGGGGGGAGGGAGGGAGGGCCACACCCCACGGCCTGCAGGGGGCTCCCGGCCCTGCTTCTGAGGCCCAGTCTGCTGAGCCCCGCTTACCGTGTTTGTGGGGCCTGGGGACCCCGCGGCCGGGGCCTCCCTGCTCAGCCTCCCCAAGTCTTGCGAGCTCAGAAGGTTGTACCAGCGGGTGAAGCTCTCCCCAGACCGGCAGATCTCGGCGAGGCTGATCTGGGCTCCTCCCTGCAGACACAGGAAGGAGAGGGGTCCTGGGGATGGGCGCAGCGGGGATGGGTGCGGGTTTTAATCTGGCTGCACGGGCGGAGAGAAGGGGGACCACCGAGAACTGACAAAGCAGCGACGACACAGCCATTTATGGTGCCCGGATGGCAGGCCGGCTGGCCGCGCCTGGCCGGTGGCTCTGACTGCCGCGTGGAGGGGCAGGCGGGACTCTAGGCCCTCGGGGGAGTGGCGGCCTGCCATCTCAGGAAAGTGGCCGTGTGATCTCTACACGGAGTGCGTGGTCACAGCCACACAGAGGAACAGAGCCCGCTGCGTCCAAGTGTGTCGTTTGGGGTTTTGGTATGAGGGAGATGATGCTGGGGCCTCGCTCCTCTGCTAAGCAACTGCTCTGCCCCTTCAGGTTACTGTTTTATTGATTCATTTATTTTATTTATTATTTTATTTGTCAGTACCGGGGCTTGAACTCGGGGCCCGGGTGCTGTCTTCTTACGCTTTTCTTTGCTCCAAGCTGGTACTTTACCACTTGAGTCACAGCTCCACTTCTGGCTTTTTGGTGGCTCACTAGTGATAAAAAGGGACTCACGGCCGGGCACCGGTGGCTCACGCCTGTCATCCTAGCTACCCAGAAGGCTGAGATCTGAGGATCGAGGTTCAAAGTCAGCCTGGGCAGGAAAGTCCATGAACCACCAGAATACCGGTTATGGCGCTGTGGTAGAGCGCTGGTAGAGCACTGACCTTGAGCCCAAGAGCTCAGGGACAGCGCCCAGGCCCAGAGTTCAAGTCCTACAATCAACAACAACAAGAAAACAACAAGAAGACTCACAGTCTTCCCTGCCTAAGCTGGCTTCCAACCGTGACCCTTACATCTCAGGATCTACAGGAGCTGGGATGATAGGTGTGAGTCGCTGGCACCGAGCACATTTTATTCTATTTTCTTGCTGAGATAGGGTCTCACTAACGTTGCCCAGGCCAGCTTCGAACTCTAGCTTCTTCTGCCTGTTTTGAGGACACAGGACCCAAGGCCACGCCCACCAAGCGCTGGGCCCAGACACTGCCAATCTGCGTTCCGCTGGAACTGCTGATTTTAAGAACAGATTGGGGATTCCACAGCCCAACAGTTCTGGGAGACTCCACGTGGGTCCACGTGGGAGCGTGACAGCCCTCCTCCTGTCTCACTTCCTCTCCTCCAGCCACAGAACCCACAGCCTGGCGTCCAGACCCCGGGGGCCTGCCCCAGTGCCCACGGGGGGCAGGGGGTTCCCGTGGGTCCCAGTAGGGACCACGCAGCGGAGGGGCTTTGCCTGCTGCTGTAGCAACCCAGAGGCCGGGGGAGGAAGGGCATCCGCTAGGGAGGAGCAGATAGGATCAGGTCCTTCTCCTGGCTTAGCGGCTGCTTCGCTGGAGACGCCCTGGAAAGTGCTCGCCCGGCCGCCAACGCTTCATCTCCAGCTGCACCCACAGAGCCCCTTGCTGGCTTCAGATGCCACATGGGGGGTGGGAGGTGGGAGGGGGCTGCCAGCGAGTGCTGCCCGGATCACTGACAGCTCTGGCCCGAGGGAAGAGCCTCCCCCTCCGGTGAGCCCATTTCCTGGCTGGCATGCAGTATCTTTTTGTTGTTGTCAGTTCTGGGGCTTGAACTCTGGGCCTGGGTGCTGTCCCTGCACTCTTCAGCTCAAGGTGAGCGCTCTACCGCTTGAGCCCAGCACCACTTCTGGTTTTCTAGTGATTTATTGGAGATAAGAGGCTCACGGACTTTCCTGCCCAGGCTGGCTTTGAACCGTGATCCTCAGATCTCAGCCTCCTGAGTGGCTGGGATGACAGGCGTGAGCCGCGGCGCCGGCTCGGCTTGCAGTATCTTATGCCATGCGTATCACTGCTTCCCTGTCCACGCTCCGCAGCTCCTGGAGCACAGCCCTGTATTTGTGGCGCTGTTCTGGGGTGGGGGGTAAGGGAGGGACGGGGCGGGCTGCCATGGGTGCTCAGCATGTGTGGACACTTGCTCCACATCCCAGTTGCACCAAACACGATCTAGAAACGGGGCTAATGCTCCCCCCCCCCACCCGCATCTCCTTCCCGCCTTGAGGCTGGAAAGCAAGTGGACAGACGGACGGACGGATGGACGGACGGGGTCCTCACCAGGCACTCCTCGGGGTGGCTCGTGTCAGAGGCACAGAGGTCCACTCGTAAGGTCTTCTGGTGAAGGGCGGGGTAGGACATGGACACCCAGAAGGCCTCGTTGAACACCAGGGTGTCGGCGGCGGCGTCCAGGGGCCGGGTGTGGAGCAGGCAGGCGCTGCTCTCTGGGCAAGGAAGGATGGCCACGCGGAAGTTCCTGGAGGGACGGGACAGGAGTCCGCTCAGCCGGGGATGCGCGGCGGGGCTCCCGGTGCCGTGCCCAGCGTGGAGCGCAACGTGGCATCATCTCCCCGGCCGCCCCCAGGGGCTCTGGATCTCGGAGGGGGCTGAGCCCCAGGCAGCGTGCAGAGGCCCAGGGAAGACCCCGAAGAGCCAGCAAGGACAGAGGTCTCACCCCTGCAGAGGGCACTGGGATTGTTATGCCAACCGCAGAGCTGGCCTCGGACCCCGAGCCTCCCTCCTAGGCCCCGCGGCCCCGTGTCCCTACAGGTGTCGAGGTGAGAGGTCACTGGCACGTGGCATGCAGGTGTCCGTGGCTGGGGGGGGGACACGCGGCGGCTGGCGTGCCCGGGCGGCCCTCAGAGGCTGACCTGCAGCCTGCCCCATGCGGGAGGCTCTACCGGGACAGAGCAGGGAATCTAAGAACGGGATCCCGCGGCACTGCCTGCAAACACGGGTCCTGAGGCTTCCTCCTCCCCCACGGACACCGAGCGTCTGTTTGCCGGTCTCACTGCTCTGGGTGGGAATCCCAGCGCCACGCTCCGGGAGAGCGGAGGAAGCAGACACCGTGTCCTGCACGGGGTGTGTGTGTGTGGGGGAATTGGTACCAGGCCGGCTCGGTAGCACTCACACTTTCCGGCCGTGCTGGGGGGACAGCACAGAGAGGCCGCGCAGCTGTCCGATCCGTATGGCGAACTGCTTACTCTTCTCATCGTACCTGAGAGGAGAGGGGGAAGGACCCGCTGTGGGCCACACGCTGGTCTCTCTCCTCTGCCTGCTTGTCCGTCTGCCTGCCTGCCCGTCTGTCTGTTTGCCTGCCTGTCTGCCTTCCTGCCAACCTGTCTGTCTCTCTGTCTGCCAGCCTGTCTGTCTGTCTGCCTGCCTGTCTTGTCTGTCTGCCTGACCATCTGTCTGCCCATTTGTCTGTCTGCCTGCCCACCTGCCCGCCCATCTGTCTGTCTGTCTGCCTGCCTGCCTGTCGATCTCTCCTAGGGACTGTAGTGATTTACATGCACAGCTCTGCTGCCCAGGTGAATTTTTAAATACAGGCCAAGTGTGTATGTAAGATCCTGACGCTAAAATGTTGGCAATAAATTCCAAAAAAACCCACAAAAAGCAAAAACAAAACAAACAACAACAACAACCCCCCCCCCTAAAAAAAAACAACCCAAAAAAACCAAGCCAGGTTGCTGGTGGCTCACATCTGTATTCACAGATGCTCAGAGGGCTGAGCTCTGAGGATCACGGTTCAAAGCCAGCCCGGGCAATGAAGTCGTGAGACTCTTGTCTCCAATAAACCACCAGGAAACTAGAAGTGGCACTGTGGCTCAAGTGATAGAGTGCTCGCCTTGAGCTGAAGAGTGCGGGACAGCGCCCAGGCCCAGAGTTCAAGCCCCACGACTGACCAAAAAACAAACAAACAAAAACCAAAACAAAGCAGCTGAGCTGAGCTCCAGTGGCTCAGGAGGCTGAGATCTGAGGATCACAGTTTGACACCAACCTGGGCATCTGAGACTCTTATCTCCAATGAACCACCAAAAAGCTGGAAGTTGAGCTGTGGTTCAACTGATAGAGCACTCGCCTTGAGCTGAAGAGCTGAGGGGCAGCGCCCAGGCCCAGAGTTCAAGCCCCAGGACAGGCCCACACATGAGGCAGTGGAGGCCGCCCCAAACCCCACCACCAACAAAGAGAGCATGATGCGGGCGTCAAGCCAACCCGGGCAGCAGCCCCGGGCCACCCAGCACCTGCGCTCCCCTGGGAGGCGGGGACAGCTGGCAGCTCTGTGGCTGGAAACCCATGGTGGCCGGTGGGGCCCGGGCGCTGCTTCGGCCCGCAGAATCATGGAGTCACGGGCGGGTCCTTGGGCAGGGCCACCCTCGGTCCGCCCTGCCACCCCCATCCCGTCCCCAGCCCCCCCCCCCCCCACTCACTTCAGGGTGATCTGAGCGCGAGCGGTGCCCCCAGCGGCTTCTGATTCGCTGTCGAACGCGGCGGCTTTGGAACTGCCCAGTCTGGAAGACAGCAGGGCTGGGGTCAGCCTTCTGCAAGGGTCAGCCTCCCTGTGGGGTCGGGGATCAGCCTCCCTGTGGGGTCAGGGGTCAGCCTCCCCACAGTGATCGGGAAGCAGGGTTCTCCCCGCCAGGCTGGAGTGCCTGCTGCCCCTGTTTCCTGGGGTCCCCTCTCTGGAGGAACCCCGTTTTCCAGCCACGGCTTCCCTGGCTCACAAATGCTTTCTAAGTCGCTCAGGGCCTCCTCCTCATGTCTGCCTCCTCCCACTGGCCCGCACAGGGCTGGGCAGGGCACTGACAACTCCCTCCCCGGCCTCCACACGCCTCCCTGGCCTCCACATGCCTCCCCGGCCTCCACACGCCTCCCTGGGCCCTCGGGGACGCACCTCCGCGCAGAGGCCTCGTACACACCACTGTCCCCAGCCACGGACTCGTCGGACACAGCGGCCGAGACACAGGCCGCTTTCAGGCTGCAGCCCGGAGCCGCACCCACCGCTGCGGGGAGGGGGAGAGGCGAGCTGAGAGAGCAAGACCCCCCCCCTGCACCCCTGCGGGCGCGGCCCCACTCCTGCGGGGCCCGCTCATCTTTGTACTCATGCTGACCCCAAAGCAGGATGGTCTGGGTGATTTCTGCCCCCGACTAGCTGGGCTTGCAGGCGTGAGCCCTGCGCCCGGCCTACAGAACGGTTTCTCCATGCACCCTCGGGTACGAGCCGTCCACGGAACTGCACACACCTCTGAACTTCCAGCAAGGCCCCTGCTGCTTCGGGTGAGGAAGACAGAGGCGACTTTATGTTTAATAACTGGGGGAGGGGGCTGGAGCCCAGGGCCAAGCAAACCCCACCACTGTCCTGCGCCCCAAAGTCCTGGGCCGACAGGAGGGCGCGGGGCACGCACCTCCTCCCTGCTGGGACAGCTTCTAGAACCATCCACGCGGAGCTTCTCGGGATGGGGGAGGGGACACTTGCTCATGCTCTGCCTGCCCTCCCTCCCCCCCCCCCCGCCCTGGCGCTGGGGACAGGTGGAGCAGACAGACAGGTGACATCTGGCCTCCAGGGGGACCCCCCCACCCCGGGGGGTCGGACGGGAACAGCCCGCACCTGGAGACCTCAGCCCCAGCCTCGCTCCCACCAGTCAGTCCTGCACGTAGCGCCTGCCAGTCCCTGGACATGCTGTGACGTGGGGTCTGAGCAGGGGGCCGGCCCACCGGGAGCTGCCCACGGCACGGCCCGGGGCTAGCCTCAGACCCTTCTTGCCACCCCGTCGTGTGTCCGTCTGTAGAGCCCACACCGGCTGGTGCCTCTGGAATGTTCTTTCTCACACCATGCAGGGGAGGGGTCAGATCAGTGTCCCCCCCCCCCCCCCCCCAGCTTCCTAAGGGCCGACCTCAGGTTCTGGCTGTGTTAGGAGAAAATCCTGCCTCGTTCCCTCAGCCCACGGGGCATGGTGGAGTGGAACTGCCAGCCCTGCCCCACACGCCCGAGTGTGCCCCCGCTGCCCAGCCCTGATCCTGCTCCGTCTCTGTCCCCACGCGAGCTGGCACAGCAGAGGCCACGCCCGCCGGCCCCAGAGCTCCCCACGGGACGTTGCTGCTGGACACCGGGACAGATGAATTTGGGGTGTCTGTTCGACTGGGCAGGAGCAAAACCACTGGGGGAAATCCCTTTGCTGCCTGTCACCCTAGCTACTGAGAACTGAGCATCAAAGCCAGCCGGGAAAGAAAGCTCCTGGTGCTTATGTGCTAGCCTTGAGCCAAACAACAACAACAAAACAACCCGAGCAACAGCGCCCAGGCCCGGAGCCCAGGCCCCAGGACCAGCACAGAAACCAACAACCACCACTCTCTATATAGGAGGGCCCAGGGCCCGGGGCCTGGTGTCCGCCTGCCAGGTGAAGGAGTCCTCCAGCCTGTAAAGACGCACGCATGGAACCAGACAGTGACCACCGCAGGGCCAGAGTGCAGGGTAGCCTCCGCCAGCAGCCCACATCTGCACACGGCCCCTTCCACCTCCGCCAGCAGCCCACATTTGCACACGGCCCCTTCCACCTCCGCCAGCTGCCCACATCTGCACACGGCCCCCTCTACCTTGGGCGGTCACTCCTGGCTCCTCCAGCCGGTGTCTGTCCCGCAGGCCGCCACCGCCACCACCAAGGCTCAGCCCACAAAGGGCAGCGCTCAGTTCCAGATCGTCCACCTCCAAGGGGATGAGGAAGGCGTCCGAGGCCAGAAGGGGGTCGGCCAAGAGCGGGGAGCAGGGAGGGGACGGGGAGGAGAAGGAGGAGCGTGGGGACAGGGAGGCGATGGACTTGGGGGTGCCCGGGGCTGGCGGGCGGGTCCGGGGCACCTCGCCCTCCGGGATGGCGGCTCTGCAGCCCGAGGGCCGGAAGCCGGCCGCGCCCTCCAGGAGCAGCTCGCAGCCCGGCGGCCCCAGGGGGTCGCAGCGGAGGTCGGTGGCGCTGGCCGACGTGGACGAGTCCAGGCTGGAGGTGAGGGAGCCCAGGCTGCTGCCGGAGGACAGGGACTGTGTGCTGCTGGAGAGGCTGGGGGAGGGCAGAGGGAGGGTGAGGGCCACCGGGACTCCGGGGAGTACCACACCTCCCCCCCCAAGTATGCCATATGCCCCCATTCCCCTGAAGAATAAAATTCAAGACCCCGGCAAATGCCGGCCGTCCTTGTCACCACAGAAAGCCTAAAAAGGTCGAGTGCAGGCCGGGCACCGTGGCTCACGCCTGTTATCCCAGCTACTCAGGAGGGTGAGATCTGAGGATCTCGGTTCAAAGCCAGCCTGAGCAGGAAAGTCCGAGAGACTCTTATCTCCAATAAACCACCAGAAAATCAGAAGTGGCGCAGTGGCTCAAGCGGTAGAGCACTCGCCTTGAGCTGAAGAGCGCAGGGACAGCGCCCAGGCCCAGAGTTCAAACCCCACGACCACCAAAATGCACACGCCCTGATGCGGGCAGGAAACGCCATCTGTACGCAGTGGCCCAGCCCAGAAGCCCAGGCCGGAGACCGAGTCTCAGACGCTCGAGCACCTGAAGGGCCGTGCCAGTCCTGCTTGGTAAAGACCGGCACTCCCGACAGCCACACGCACGCCGCAGCCGGTGAGGGCAGACGCCACGCCGGGGGGCGCTCGCCCACCCCACACCCACCTCCTGAGCTGGCCATGCAGCACCGTCGCCAGCCGCGTGGCTTCCTCCAGCTCCCGCACCAGCTGGATCCTCCTATCCGTCTGCGTTAGCCTGCGGGGAGAGGTCACGCTCCAGCTGCCCACGGCCCCACAGCCCACACGCACACTGACCGACCCAAAGACCCGGAGCTAGTGCCGGTGGCTCACGCCTGTCATCTTAGCCACTCGGGAGGCTGAGATCTGAGGATCGCGGTTCAAAGCCAGCCCGGGCAGGAAAGTCGGTGAGACTCTTTATCTCTAATGAATCACCAGAAAACTGGAAGTGGTGCTGTGGCTCAGTGGTAGAGCGTTCACCTTGAGCTGAAGAGCTGAGGGACAGCGCCCGGACCCAGAGTTCAAACTCCAGTAATGGTGAGCACACATATGCGTATATGTATGTACACACACAACACACATGTGCGTACACGTATGTACACACATACACACAAAGCAACAGGTGAGTAATATAACTAGAGGCTTATAAAACATTTAGAGGCTCTACTTCCTCTTCTTCTGGAAAGTTCCTTCGCTGCTGGGAAGCTGATGGCAGCCATTGTGGAAAACCCTGTGTTGAGCAGGAGGTAAAAGGAGCCGCGGGCGCTATGGTCTGCTGCAGCCTGCCAGGCAGGCCTCGCGCCTCGGTTTCCGATCCCCGCAGGACCTTTCCACCCTGGTCCTGAGCAGTCTTGGGGTTGCCAGCCCTCTGCACATGGGGGTTCATGAACACGAGAGCCTGTTCCCCCCCGCCCCCCTCCCCGGGGGTTAGCTCTGCTTTCTGTCCACCACCGCTATACTGCTCGTCCCTGGCACCACGTACGTGCTGAATAAAAAGGTGCGACTGCACCCCCCCCCCGCCCCCGTGCCGTGGTGACTTGGTAATACCCCCTTTGCTGTCTATACCTCTTTCCTTTACGGTGCCGTTCCTGGGGCTTGAACTCAAGGCCTCGGTGCTGACCCTGAGATTTCTGTTTTGCTCAAGGCTGGCATTCTACCACTTGGACCACAGCTCCCCTTCCAGCGTTTTTGCTGGTTCGTTGAAGATGAGAGTCTCACAAGCTATCCTACCCAACCCGGCTTCAAGCCTCAATCCTCAAACCCCGCCTCCCGAGCAGCGGGGATGCTGGGAGAGCCCCCAGTGCTGGACTTGCCGCCAACCCCGTGGATTGCCCGGGTCTGTGGATGCCATGCTGCGGGCTGGCTGTCCAACCACCCAGGCCCTGGGAGGACACAGGAAGTGGAATGACCACTACCTGCTTTGAAATGTTTGCTGCTGTTATCTGTTTTCTTTCTTCGGTGCTGGGGATAACAGAACCCAGGGCTTTGCTTATACCAGGCAAGCACTCTATGGCAGCGCTTCACCTCTAGCACTTGGAAGGGTGGACTTCCGAAAGCCGGCACCAGGCAGCCGTTTTGGAAACGTGAGTCCCCACGGAAAGCACCAGGATGGCTCCAGCCCTGCCCTTCTGCCCCTTTGGGCCTGCAGGACAGATGGAGGCCCGTCTGTCTATCCCCTCGCACCCCCCTGGCCCCCCTGATCCCAGGCCCCCCCTGACCCCCGGCCCCCCTGACCCCCGGCCCCCCTGATCCCCAGCCCCCCTGATCCCCAGCCCCCCTGATCCCCGGCCCCCCTGACCCCCGGCCCCACCTCTCGGCCAGCGCCTTGCTCTGCGTGTCCCGGGCGGCCTCCAGGTCCTTGTCCAGCTGCTCCAGCTCGCCCTGGCTCCGCTCCCGGGGGCTGGTGAAGCGCATCTCCTTGAGCAGCTGCTCCTTCTCGCTGAGGAGGACCAGCCGGTCCCTCTCCACGTCCAGCGCCCCAGGCCAGGCCTCACCGTCCAGCCTGGCTAGCTGGATCTTCAGGACGGCGATCCTGAGGACCAAGGGGGTGAGGGTGAGGCTTGGGAGCCGCAGCGTGGCAGGCTCAGGGAGGGGGCCGGACGAGGGTGAGGGCGGTCACACCCAGGCCACATGCCGTCTCCAGGGCACGTGCCTTTCAAGCTAACGACCGCATGTGGGCACCAGCCCTGAGCCCACTGCACAGCTGGCGCTGTTGGGATGGGTGCAGATGTGGGGTCCTCGGCCACGCCCCCCACGACCCAGCTCCCCTGGGCTGGGCGAGCCCCCAGCCCTGCTACTACGTGAGCGGCCTCCAGCGTGCCTGGCCTTTATCCAGGAGGGACACGCGTTAGAACGCTGAGCTGGGCACGGCGCGGCAGCTCAGCGGCTGGGCACCGTTTTGCACGCACGAGGCCCTGAACCAACCCCAGCAGCAACCGGAAAATCAGATTTTTGGGGGGTCAGTGGTGGGGCTTGAACTCTGGGCCTGGGCGCTGTCCCTCAGCTCTCCAGCTCAAGGAGAGCGCTCTACCGCTTGAGCTACCGCACCACTTCTGGTTTTCTGGGGGTTCATATGAGTAAGAATCTCATGGACTTTCCTGCCCAGGCTGGCTTTGAACCGTGACCCTCATATCTCAGCCTCCCCAGTAGCTAGGATGACAGGCGGGAGCCACCGGCGCCTGGCCGGAAAATCAATTTAGTACCAGAAGTTCACAGCACGGAGCCTGGCCTGCTAGAGTACTGACCAAGAGCAGAAGGGAGGCCCGGCGGCCTGGGCCCTTCTCCTCTCCAACCAGCCTGCAGAGGGCCGGAGCGGAGGCGCGGGGCCAGCGCTGAACAAAAAGCCAAGCAAGGCTGCAAGGCCTCGAATTCAAGCCCCAGCACTGGGGTGTCCCCCCCCCCCCCCGCCTCCAGTACCGTCTCTTCGCCTCTTCGTAGCGAAGCCGCAGTCTGACCTTCTCAGCCAACTGGTTGTTGCTGCCACCACCGAACTAGGGGACGAGGAGAAAGCCAGGAGTGAGGCCGGGGCTGGAGTCTTGTGAGCTCACGTGGGGGGTGGTGTGTGGCCGCAGCCCGGGGTCACCCCTCCTCCCCGGGGCGGGGGATGGGCACGCGAGCCCAGCGAAAGCACTTTGCTTCCTTAGGGCCTCGCGGCTGGCCCCAAACTCAGACGTCTGCCAGATCAAGAAGAGCAGCGCCCTGGGCCTGGGTGTCACCGTACGGACCCAAGCAGCTCAGGGCCACAGAGCTAGGGAGGCACAGAAGACGTCGGGGGAGGGACGGGGGGGGGGCACCCGCAAGAATGCAGCCAGAAAGGAGGTGCCGGCGGCTCACGCCCAGCTATTTAGGAGGCTGCCACCTGAGGACTGCAGTTCAAAGCCGGCCCGGGGAAGGAAAGTCTGTGAGACTCTCATCTCCACTTAACCACTAAAAAGCTAGAAGTGGAGCTGTGGCAAAAGCAGGAGACCACCAGCCCTGAGCACAAAAGCTCCGGAACAGCGCCCAGGCCCAGAACCCTGGCTCCTCAGACTGGCGGAAAAGAAAAAAACCACAAATCTGGGGATGGGGGCGGGGGGGGGGGGGTCGACAGAAACCTCAGCAGGCTGCAACTGGGCATGAAACGCTGGGAGAGTGTGGAGAAGGTTCTAGAAGGTAGGATGTGCACCGATTCTGCAGCTCACAGGTGGACAGCAGGGTGGTAGGGGGAAGATCCCAGAGAAGGCACCGTGTCCCCGCATGCCACCGCCGGGCCCAGCTGGGCCTCGTGTTGGGGCGTGGAGTGGGGACCGGGAGGGGGCACAGGCCCCGCCCCGCACACTCACGCTTCCAGAGACGTCCGTCTGCGAGCTCACGTCTAGGAACTGCTTGGGCAGCGGGCAGCCTGAGCTGTCCAGGGAGCCGCTGCTGGACCACAGGTCTGAGCGAGACCCCCGCTCGGGGTGGAAGCCATCCCTCAACGCGGCCAGGCTCTGTGGTGGAGGAGAGACGGGGTGGGTGGGCACGGAGCCTTCGGCGGGGAGGGCGCTCTGTGGTTATGAGGAGGGTTTCCTCAGTTTCCCTGTCTGGAGCCCACGCTGGCCCCACACGTGATCCACGTGGCGAAGAGTCCCAGTCTTAAGAGGAAGCTGCCTGCATCCTGACTCTATCTGCCAGAGTGTGTTTGCTCAGCTCATTCCCTGCTGTGTGACCTGAGAGCCCCATGAACCTCTCTGAGCCCCAGAGTCCTCTCCTGTAAAGCAGGAACCCTGCTGTCCTCTCCCCCAAATCCATCCGTGTTCCCTACACGCCTCAGACGCACAGCCATGCCTTCACCGTGACCCTCCACCGAGAGGAGGGTGGGCGGCGTGGAATTTTCCACTGGTGACTTGAGGTTGGTGCCGAGGAGAGGCTCCGGCCGGGGCTCTGGGGTCGGGTCCGCCCCCAGCCTTCTTTGTGTCTGGTATTTTTCAGCTCAGGTCTGACGTTTCTGCTGCTGGCTCCCCTCCTCCTGACACCTTCCGAACAGCCGGGATGCCAGGCGCTTGCTGGCACGTGTGGGTGAATGGTTGAGATGGGGCCACTCTTTTGCCTGGGCTGGGCTCGAATCCAGTGATCCTCCCCTCCCGCTGTTTCCAGAGTCGTTAGGATTACGGCGCCTGGGCCTGAGTTGAGGGTTTGGGGATGCTGAGACTCTGGTGATGGTTTGTCTGGGCCATGGTGGGGGGAGTGGGGGGAGGGGGAGGGGCTCACACACCTTAATGAGGTCTTGCTTCTCCTTCTCCCCGCAGGTGATGGCTTTCCTGATGGCTTCCGTCTCTCTTAAAACAGCCCGGGCCTCGTCCAGTTGGTAGCCTCCCTCAGCGTCAGACATCTTCCTGTTGATTCTGCCAGACAGGAAGTGGCAGGTCAGGCACCTACCTGGGGGCGGGGCCGTGGGGCGGGAGAGCGCATGCGGGGCGCATGGGGGCGCAGCTGCGCGCCGGGCCGGGGCGGGGGTCTGTGAGGGAGGCCAGGCCGCTGCCTCCACGCAAGGCCGCAGGGCTCCGGCTGCCCAGCCGGCCCCATGGAAGAGAGCTGTCCACTGGGTGCTGAAATGCCTCGACCCCATTTCCTCAGGCCCTGGGCAGCTGGGCTCCAGGAGGAAACGGGGTGGGGACAGGCAGGGAGACAAGGGAGGGGTCCCCATGATGAACTCTGTGAATTTTGTTTTGGTCGTGGGGCTTGAACTCTGGGCCTGGGCGCCATCCCTCAGCTCTTCAGCTGAAGGCGAGCGCCCTACCACTGGAGCCACAGCGCCACTTCCGGTTTCCTGGTGGTTTATTGGAGATAGGAGTCTCACGGACTTTCCTGTCAGGGCTGGCTTTGAACCGTGATCCTTAGATCTCAGCCTCCTGAGTAGCTAGGATGGCAGGCGTGAGCCACCAGTGCCTGGCTTCTGTGAATATTTTATCTCTAATTAAGCACCAAAAAGAAGGAGAAAGAGAAGGAGGAGGAGGAGGAGAAGAGGAGGAAGAGGAGGAGGAGGAGGAGAAGGAGAAGGAGAAGGAGAGGGAGAAGGAGAAGGAGGTGGAGGAGGAGGAGGAGGAGAAGGAGAAGAGGAAGAAGAGGAAGAAGAGGAGGAGGAGGAGGAAGAGGAAAAGAAGAAGAAGGAGAAGGAGAAGGAGGAGGAGGAGGAGAAGAAGAGGAAGAAGAGGAAGAAGAGGAGGAGGAGGAGGAGGAGGAGGAGAAGGAGAAGAGGAAGAAGAGGAAGAAGAGGAGGAGGAGGAGGAAGAGGAAAAGAAGAAGAAGGAGAAGGGGAAGGAGGAGGAGGAGGAGGAGGAGGAGAAGAAGAGGAAGAAGAGGAAGAAGAGGAGGAGGAGGAGGAGGAGGAGGAGGAGGAGGAGGAGGAGGAGGAGGAGGAGGAGGAGGAGGAGGAGGAGAAGAAGAAGAAGAAGAAGAAGAAGAAGAAGAAGAAGAAGAAGAAGAAAAAGAAGAAGAAGCAGAAGCAGAAGCAGAAGCAGGAGAAGGAAATGGAGCTGTGGCTCAAGTGGTACAGTGCTACCCTTGAGCAAAAAGCTCGGGGACAGCATTCAGACCCTGAGTTCAAGCCCTAAACCAGAACAACACCACCAACAACAAAAAGCCCACAATAAACAACCAACAAAAAACCAAAAAAGAAAAACAAAAACAAACCCAACCCATTGCCACCACCACCAAATCCTACACGAGCAGAGCTCAGTAGCTCCGAGCTCCTGCCTCAGCCCTTACTTGCGGCTGGCTGCCTGGCTTTGGTCTTCCTCTAGAAAATGGAAAACTTCTTGAATAACTTCACCAAGTGAAGAGCAAGCAACAAGGTGGCTACACTGATGGGCTCCCGGTCCCCCTCTGGGCGACCCGCTGGGGGAGGGGGAGGGGCCCGTCCGCCTGCGTCCCCTCCCAAGCTGGAGAGGAGCCAAGTGCAGGTACACCCTCCCCTCCCCTCCCCTCCTCTCCCCTCCCCTCCGTCAATGCCCTGGCAGAGCTGCACGCACTGAGGGCCTGGGCACTGTCCCTCAGCTCTTCAGCTCAAGGCGAGCGCTCTACCACCTGAGCCACAGCGCCACTTCCAGCTTTTTCTGCTTATGTGGTGCTGAGGAATGGAACCCAGGGCCTCATGCGTGCGAGGCCAGCGCTCTACCACGGAGCACCTTCCCAGCCCGGGACTCACTTCTTCAGGGTCTGGAAGCCATGCTCCTTGAACTGAAGCTCCTGCTGCAGATGGGTCATCTCCCTCTTCAGCCTGTTGACCTGGATGGCAGACCGCACCGGGCTGAGTCGGGGATGGACCCGGGGAGGGAGGGGACCCCAGACCCCGGCTCGGCTCCCGCACACCCCGCAGGGGCTCACACGCCCTGCCCTCCCGCCGTCTCTGCATGGGCGGCGGGCGGCAGCCCGGCTGGAGTTCCTGTAGGTCCCCCCACCATCTCCCACCCAGGAGATGGAACTGAGTGTCCCTTCCCATGCCACTCTGTCCTAGAAGCGATGGGAGTAACAAGATGCCCGAGGTCCTGGGTTCGAGAGTCCTAGGTTCTCAAATGCCAGGTCCAGCCTGGACAAAGGCATGTCTGGTCCGGGTGGCGTTGTTAAAACTTGTCCTCACGAGTCGTTATTAACGATGGACAGAGAGCTTTCCTATTGGGAGCCTAGGCATGCAGTTCCTTTAAAGGAAGGCCTTGACACGCCAAGCCCACATTTCGGCACGGGACGGGCCCGTCTCTCTCCGTTCACAGCCCCCCACCCCTCCCTGCCGCTCCGGCCCAGTTCCCTCACCCACGAATGGCGTGTCAGCATCTGACCTGCGAAAACCATTCTTTTTTGAGTCTGGCTAGAACCGACGGTGCACAACACTGGCCATGCCACGAGCAGCCGCGGGCCGCTGTGGTTCTGCGCCGGAACGTGGGCACGGTGATGCGTATCACCAGGAGTGGGGAGGCTGGACGGAGCGGGACAGAGCACACCAGCAGGGACCCTCCTCGACTCCACGGCCTTGGAGGATTCTCTCCGCGTCCTCAAGCCTCTGGCTGCTCATCTCTAAAGTACAGGTAATGGCAGCCACCACCCCGTGAGGTGCAGCGCTGTCTGGGGCTCAGCAGACGCCAGGGAGATGAGAGCTGCTAGCAGCGTGACCAACTCACTCCCACGGCTGCCTGGCCCGGCTACTGCGGCCTTCAGGATGAGCTAGAGTTCGAAAGGGGAGAGGCAAATCCTCGAAGGCGGCAAAGACCTTCACCAATGGAGAGGCAAAGCCTCTAAAGGAGCAGAGACCTCCCCCAGTGGGATGGCAGAGGCCTCTAAGGGGACAGAGACCTCCACCAATGGGAGTGGAGAGGCCTCTAAAGGGGCAGAGATCACCACCAATGGGCCTGCAGAGCCTCTAAGAGGGAAAAGACCTCCACCAATGGGGAGGCAGAGACCTCCACCAATGGGAGGCAGAGACCTACCCGGGACTTGGTAGTGGCAATTTCCGCTTTCAGGATCTCGGGGTCATACTTCGAGCTGGATGATGAACACACTATAAGGCAACAGAAAGAATAGAATTTTGGTTGGAGGAAATGCAAAACTGTCTTATTTGGCAGGCGAAATAGACTGAAAGGACTAAAATAAGCTAACTAGTCAACAGAAGGGAAGCTGTCTATCTAATAAACATGGCACAGAAGTCAAACGCTGGCACTGCAAAGAGATAAAGCAAACTACTGACTATAAAGGGAAATTCTGCCGGGAGCCTGTGGCTCACATCTGTCATCTAGCAAGTGAGGAGGCTGAGATCTGAGGATCACGGTTCAAAGCCAGCCTGGGAAGGAATGTCTATGAGACTCTTGTCTCCAATAAACCACTAGAAAACCAGAAGTAGTGCTGTCATTCAAGTGGTAGCGTGCTCACCTTGAGCTGAACAGCTGAGGGACAGCACCCAGGCCCAGAGTTCAAGCCCCACAACCGACAAACAAAAGGAAATGTCTGAAAATCATTCCATAGAATATATCTTATGAAGAAATGTACAGAATAAGTGATATACAGCTGGTGCCTGTGGCTCACACACTTGTGATCCTAGCTCCTCGGGAAGCCAAGACCTGAAGGATTGTGGTTCAAAGTCAGTCTGTAAAAATAATGTCCTTGTAATTCGATCTCTAATTAAGCAGCAATAAATCAGGCATGGAGGGGCCCTGGGGGCTTCACACCACACACTGGGGCTCTCTTACTCTGGGGTCCTCTGAAACAGCTCATGGAACTTTAGGTGATGGCCATCTTTAAACATATCTGCACCTATTTCTCTATCTACACACTCACGGGCAGAGTTGGCTAGCCCATTCCACTTTCTAGCCTTTACTTTTCTTTGGTCTCCCCTCTGCTGGACTTAATAACTGTCATTTCCATGCTTGCTTGGTTTTCTGCAGACTTTGCCCAAGCTCAACTCCACACCCTTCCTGTGATCTATGCCCCTCCCTGGCCCAGAGCACAGACCAGCACACCTTCCCCCCCACCCCAGGCCTGACATCCTCCAGCCCCCCTCCCCGTCTGTGTCTCAGATCTCCCTCTTTCTGGACTATCGCTCCTCTGGACAGAACATTCTAGTAGATGATTGAGAAGGGGAGGGGCGGAAGGAAGGAAATCTACTTTTTTTCTTCTCCCTGAAATGTTACATGACTCAAAATATCTTGATCCTAACCCTACATTTAGGTAAAAGTAGTTTTGCTGGGTATAAAATTCTGGGGTCAAAACAAATCCCCCCCCCCCCCTTTCTACCTGTAGAGGCATCGATTGCACCATTGTTTTTTAAGTTTCCCAGGTCCCTGGTGATAGGCTGTAGCCATTCTGAGTCTTGATCGTTTCCTGTGGCCTGTTGATTTTTCTCCCAGGAGGCCTGAGTTTGCTCCATGGTTTCAGGGTTCGACACCAATGATGAAGTGTGGTATGTTGATTCATCCATCATGTGGAACCGTTCCTCCTCCTCTTCCTCCTCTCCCTCCTTCTCCTGTCATGAGAAACTTTCCCGAATCATCTCCTGAAGCCTCTCTCTCTCTCTCTCCTTTCAGGTCGTAGGTTCCCTGGACCAGGGTGGCTTTTTCTCTCCTTAACTTTTCTATATATTCCTGTAGCTGTCCTCAGCCTCAGGTTCCAATCTTCCCACAGGCCCTGGGGCAGTCTCTATTCTTCCTTCACTGTGGGGGGCCTGCGGGGAGGTCTGGAGGGGAGCTTGCCCACTCAGATGTCTGGTGCCGGACATGGCTGGCCGCTTGGCCCAGGAACCCTCGATGCCGGTGTCATTCCTTCTTCTCTCTTCCAGGCCTTTTCAGGCCAGACTTCCCAGGCTCTCCTCCTGTCTAGCCTGGGGGCCCGATGGACGGCCTCCTGCCTTGCTGGACACCAGGCGGTCTCAGAGCCCTGGGTCTCTTGGTTATGTAATCCTGCTTCTGCACGGTGTGCTGTGGCTTTGAACCTGCCTGGAGTCTAGAGCTTGACTTACTGTCTCTGAAAGTTCACCCACCACCACAGGCCAGGCTGCTGCTGGTATTGGTCCTGCCTATAGCAATTTGGGGAGGGTCTGAGGGTCTCTCTCGGAGGCAATTTTCATCCAGTGCTCCCTACCCAAGGCCCTCCTCGCCCCACTCCCGCTTCCAGGGATTGCTGAGGCCCAATTCCCTGCGCCCGAGTCTCGGCAGGACTCCCAGCTCGCAGCCCGCGGCCCTTTTTCAGGGGCCCACTGGCATCCGCCCTGCTTTCCAAGGCCCACATCTTCATCATGATGTCCTTTCTTCTGCAGTTCTCAGGTCCTTCTGTCTCTCTCTTTTTCTTTTCTTTTTTTTTTTTTTTTTGGGTCCGGTTGTGGGGCCTGAACTCTGGGCCTGGGCACTGTCCCTCAGCTCTTCAGCTCAAGGCTAGCGCTCTACCACTTGAGCCACAGCGACACTTCCGGCTTTTTTCTTTTTGCTTATGTGGTGCTGAGGAATCGAACCCAGGGCCTCAGGCATGCAAGGCAGGCGCTCTACCACTGAGCCACCTTCCCAGCCCCCTTCTGTCCCTTTCAAAAATGGCCTTATCTGATATTCTCTTCATTTCAACCCACCAAGTCCCCGGTGATGTGTTTTCCACACAAGAAAAGGAACCCCAAAGACGCCAGTCTCTGGGCTGAAGTGCTCAGAAACACCTGCAGGACGCTGCTCAGCGCCAAGGAAGCGGCTCAGAGGCCTGGTGTGGGCTGCGACTGGCCGACCACTCGGGCACCAGAGGCAGTCCGGTGAGGCTGCAGAGAACCCCTCCCCCCATCCTCCCCATCTCCGAGCTGGGAGGTGTGGTAGGCCGAGGCCTGTGGCTGGCCAACATGGATTTGGTGAGGACACTGAAGGTGGCAGAGCCGAGGGACACCCAAATATGCACTGAGTCACTGAGGTTACAGGCATGCACCACTGTGGCCAGCTAGACCCACCAGTTCTTAACGTGTTTGCTCAGTTGATCTCTCCATCCCCTCTTCTACCCTTGCTCTTTCTCAGTGGGTTTCTAGCTCTCAGTAAACCTTCAACAAATGGTCAGACAGAAGTGGTAACAACGCGGGAGAACCACGTTTGAATCCCTCATAGACTCGGCTAGCTGGATGTGTCACTCTCTTCCTTTTGTCCTCTCTTATTTCCCCGTGGATCTTTTCTAGCCCGGGAGTGAGTGGCTGATCACAGGCATGAGCCACAGTGCCTGGCTCCCATCTCTATAACTGCTTTCCCTCCACGTCTCCCCAGCTAGCCCCTGTTGGGTTTAAACATGGAGGAGCTACAGGATGGGACCGGCCACAGGAGCTGGCTTCCCACCACAGGGTGCAGAAGAGCTGTGAACCCGTAAACAGCAAAGGGATGGATGGGGATTCGGATGCGTGTGGACCGGCAGCCCTCTGCCTGACTCCGCCCTGCATGGGTGGGCAGTACTCACAGCTGACCTGGGAGCCCAGCCTGTGCTCCCAGACGGCGTGTAGCTGCTGGTACTGCTGCTGCGCCAGCTCCAGGCGCTGCTGCTTCACCTGGTAGATCTCCTTCTGGGCACTCAGAGCCTCCTGCGCCACCACCAGGTAATCCTTCAGCATGTGCTCCTGCTCCCGCCGCCACTGCTCCCGCGGGTCCTCAATCTGAGTGGTTTCTGGAACAGACCAGGGGCTCCGGCTCAGCACCGTGCGTGAGGAGCTGCCGGGCTGGTGACCGGTGGAATCCACTACCAGACACCAAGGGGCAAAGCACATGGATAGACTCACAATAAATGTACCTGGGTTAAATTTGCTTACTACACGGAAGAGAATCTACATGTATGTGGCTCAGTCATAGAAACAAAAAGGACACCGAGGTGGAGCTGTGAACTGGATGTCAATCTCTACCTGAGGAAGGGCCAGGTTTGAGTTGTAATCTATTCAGAGGCCAAAGGGGATTATAAAAACTGGAGGTCATCTGTCTTCATGAAGAGTAAATGGAGGGAAAAGTGTTCAAGAATGTGAAGAAATAGCCGGGTGCTGATGGCTCACGCCTGTCATCCTAGCTACACAGGAGGCTGAGATCTGAGGATCACGGTTCAAAGCCAGCCCAGGCAGCAAAGTCCGTGAGACTCTTATCTCCAAGTAACCACCAGAAAACCAGAAGTGGTGCTGTGGCTCAAGTGGTAGAGAGCTCGCCTTGAGCTGAAGAGCTCAGGAACAGTGCCTAGGCCCAGAGTTCAAGCCCCACAACCGACAAAAAAAAAAAAAAAGAATATGAAGAAATAGCTGGGTACTGGTGGCTCATGCCTGTAATCCTTGCTACTCAGGAAACTGAGATCTGAAGATCATGGTTCAAAGCCAGCCAGGGCAGGAAAGTCTGTGAGACTCATCTGTAAATTAAGCACCAAAAGAGCCAGAGGTGGAGCTGTGGCTCAAGTAGTAGAATGCTAGTCTTGAGCAAAAAAGCTCAGTGACAGCACCTAGGCCCTGAGTTCAAGTCCTAGTACCAGCATACATCACACACACACACACACACACACACTCCCCTTCGAATGGCTATTAATTTATTTATTTTTGTCAGTTGTGGGGCCTGAACTCTGGGCCTGGGCGCTGTCCCTCAGCTCTTCAGTTCAAGGCTAGTGCTCTACCACTTGAGCCACAGCGCCACTTCTGGCTTTTTCTGCTTATGTGGTGCTGAGGAATCGAACCCGGGGCCTCATGCATGCAAGGCAAGCACTCTACCACTGAGCCACCTTCCCAGTCCTGAATGGTTATTTTTTCAAGAACATGCATTATCAACCTGCATTAACCCCTCTATCCAAATTGACATAAAACAAGGCACGATCTGGCGTCTAGAACCTTTGGTGGCTCCTGAACACTGGGCAGGGCAGGAGGGGGGTGAGGAGGAGGAAGGAGGCAGGGGAAGGGAGGACAGAACTTACTGGTGTTGTGGTCTATGAAGTAATCTCCAACCTGGGGGTCGTAGGCCTCTTCCCAGCCCAGAGGCAGCTCATTGCTGATGCAGTCAGCAAAGGTGAGGGGTTTGGTGAACCTGGAGTGAGGAGAGAGATCTATTCCATCAGCCCACGGCCCCCCGTGGCCCCTGTGGCCTCTGCAGCAAGCCTTCCTGGCCTCCCACATCCAGGAGTTCTGTACTGCAGCCAGCTCTGCTGTCTCTGGTTCCTGGGAAGGGGGCCATGCCGTGCGGTAAGATGGGGGCGAGGAGGTCCTGGAAGAGAGGGGAGGGGAGAGGGAAGCCAGCCACCTTCCCTCTTGAGCCTCCTTTTCTTTTCTTTGTCAGTCGTGGGGCCTAAACTCTGGGCCTGGGTGCTGTCCCTCAGCTCTTCAGCTCAAGGCGAGCACTCTACTGCTTGAGCCACAGCACCACTTCCGGTTTTCTGGTGGTTCATTGGAAAGAGTCTCACGGCCTTTCCCAACCAGGCTGGCTTTGAACCACGATCCTCAGATCTCAGCCTCCTGAGTGGCTGGGATGACAGGCGTGAGCCTCCGGTGCCTGGCTTTGAGGCTCCATTCCTTCATCTCCAACGGAGGGTTTGCAAGGCGGGGCTCTTGGGACAAGTCTGTCTCCTGCCTTGGCGCCCAGCTCTCTTTGGTCTCTTCCCCTACAGAGCCCTGGTCTGCCGGCCTGCAGTCTTTCCCCTGGCTCTCTCCCGGGGTGGAGGGGGTTTTGCACCCACTGGTCCTTCAGAAAGCTGGCCTCCTGCCTGCCTGCTGCCCCGGGCTGGCCGAGTGCCCGCACAGCTGTCCTCCAACAAACATCTCCAGCAAGAACTACCCGCTAAGCACCCACACTCCTGCTTTTCCTCAGGTGCTGAGACCTTCCAGATGAAGCTCCCACAAAGCTTTGGTCAGCTGACCCCCCCCCCCCCCCAATAAGCACCCTGTCCTTGGGCCTCGAACACAGGAAACCAAAGCCATTTCCCTCTGTGCCCAGCCCACCTCAGCCATCCCGTCCTTCCGCGCTCCATACTGTCTAGAGCAGCCCCATCCTTTCCCCTCCCCTTCCCTTTCCTTTCCTGTTTATCTGCTTACATTAGTTACAGGGGCAGGCGGGTTCACTGTGACACTTCCATGCACGCATATAATGCATTCTTACACCACCCCAGCCACTCAGAGGCAGGCATCTCACTGTGCACTTGACACCCAGAAAATGAAGAAGGTGGAGTGTCCTCCCCCTCCTCCCCGCACCCACCCCTGAATCTGAAGAGCACCTTTCAGATTCATCCCAGAGGATTAAGGATTTTAATCTGTGATGCATCCACGAGGTAGAGCTAGCACCAGCCACGTGTCTGGGGAAGGAGCGCGTCAGACCACGGCTCTGAGGGGAGGGACAGGTGCAAAGCCAAGTTAGTTTTCCATCTTGCTAACGTGGGCATGTGCTCCCCGTTCACCGCGGGGGGGGGGGAAACAGCCCTGGAGGGAGAGACGCACAGGGGCTCAGAGCCCCCCAAGTTCCCCGGCTAAAGACTAAAACCTAATGCAGGTGAACAGAGCGACAGGTCTCAAAATGTTCTGGAGCGTGGTACAAGCCACGCTGCAGGACTAGAGGCGAGACTGTCCTGGCGCCTGGAGCCCCTCAGTTATCTGTGGTGGGGTGCAAAGACATGCAGGGCACCCCAGAACCCCACTCCCTCTGAAGCCCAGGACACAGACGTCCCAGAGCTCGTCCAGGGACGGAGGAAAGGACTCAGCAACGTAGGCACAAGCTGGACAGCAGGCTTGCTCCGCCACCAGCACCAGGGGAGGTGGATGGCTCAGTGCGTGGAGACGCGTCTTGTTATACCTGCGCTGGGATTTTACACACGCACACACACATGGACATAAATACAGGCACACACACCTGCAGACACACAGGTACCTATAGACACGTGCACACGCACACAGCCACACATGCACGCGCACACAGGTGCACACCACATGCACGCACACAGCCATCCATTTGTGGGCAAGCACGAGTATACACAGCATGTACGTGCATGCACACGCGTGTTCACGTATGTGCTTCCTGCTAGTGAAAGCAGGACTGTGTGGGACCCCACCCCCCTGAGGAACTGTGGGTACTCCCCGGGCCCGCAGCCTTTGCTCATGGCAGGGAGATGTTCTGGTTGAGATCCGGACAGGACCAGTCTGCCGGGAGGGAGCTCCAGCCCGCAGGTCTGTTCTCCCAGGCTGGGCACACAGCCGGGAAGCTGGTGTCAGCTTCAGGGTTCAGCGGGAGAGTGGGCTCAGGGATGAGAGCCTGCACCTCATCTAGAACTGGGGTGCACCTAGAATCCCAGACTCCTGCTGTGTGGGAGAGAAGTGCGGGTTCATGAGATGAGGGCAGGTGGGTGGGGAGCCTTGGGGGGGGCGGTGGCGCTGTGGGCGTGATCCCAGAGTGTCTGTGCACCCTGGGACCCGTGTCACCCTCAAACTTAAACCGGAAGCCCCATTCTTTACCCTGAGACAGGAAGTGGCATCACGGCTCACAGGCCCTGGCCAGAACCTCCTGCTGCCGTACCTCGAGGTCTGAGCACCCGTCTGCCTGACTGTGCTTATTTTCTGGTGCCAGCCCTGGGGCTCGAACCCCGGGCCTGGGTGCTGTCCCTGAGCTCTTGAACTCCTGCCACAGCTCTACTTCTGGCTTTTTAAGGTGGTCCACTGGACATAAGAATCTCACGGACTTTCCCGCCGGGGCTGGCTTTGAACTGCGATCCTCAGCTCTCGGCCTCCTGAGTAGCTAGGATGGCAGGCGTGAGCCACCAGTGGCTGCTGGCTTCACAAAAATATTTTTAAGACCGACATGGGGGCTCATGTCTGTCACCCAGCACCCGGGAGGCTGAGGCAGGAAGCTGCAAGCTCAGTGCCAGCATGTGTGTCCAGTTGGGTCTCCAAAACACAACTCCTCTGACAATTCAGTACAAGCTGCTGACGCACGAGCCTTTATCCCCACCCCCACTCCCAGTTGGCAGACAGGTTGGTGGTGTTAATGGTGCAACCTGGAGATGAAAAGCAAAATTCTGTGCAGTATTTAGCAAGCCATGCTCTGCCCCAGGTCCCCAGCACTGGCTTTAGATAATTCTGAAGTGCACTTTTATTTTTTTAAAATGCACTCAGTGTCTGGGGCAGGCAGAAACACCCACGGTGTCCGCTTTCAGTGGTAACCAGGTCTCCAGTAGGATCAGGGCACTAGGCCCTCTGCCCTCCGCCCTCCCCCTCCAGGCTGGGGCAGAGGGGCGGGGGGGGGGGGGGGGGGGGGGGAGATGGCGGTGGACAAACCTGTCCAGCCACATTCCTGAAGCAAGCCCGAAGTAGGTTAGCTCTCCCCAGCCTGGGAGCACAGAGGCACAAGGGACAAGTACTTGAAAAGCCAAGGATGCAGAAGGCTCCAAAGAGTCACTTTTAGCAGGGGGAGGGGGGAAATGCTTGAGTGTTTTTTGCTTAAGTATTTGTTTTCGTGTATGCATAAAAGGATGGGAATGATTTATTTTTTTAGTTTTTATTTTTTTTGGGTCTGGTCATGGGGCCTGAGCTCTGGGCCTGGGCGCTGTCCCTCAGCTCTTCAGCTCAAGGCTAGCGCTCTACCACTGAGCCACCTTCCCAGCCCCCAGGATGGGAATGATTTAAAGAAAAAAGAAACAGGGGGCTGGGAAGGTGGTAGAGCGCTTGCCTTGCATGCCTGAGGCCCTGGGTTCGATTCCTCAGCACCACATAAGCAAAAAGGAAAAAGCCGGAAGTGGCGCTGTGGCTCAAGTGGTAGAGCATTAGCCTTGAGCTGAAGAGCTGAGGGACAGCGCCCAGGCCCAGAGTTCAGGCCCCACGACCAGACCCACCTCCAAAAAAAGAAAAAAGAAACAACCCTAAGTCTGAAAGGATTGCTTCAGCAAGCACGAGATCAACATGGGCAGCTGAAAAAGTGGGTAGTCTTTTAGCAGCAGGTTTTTTCTTCCTTTCTCACCACTCAGCATAGTGGTGCTTCTTGAAAACCAATGTTTATTCCTAACAACCCAAAGCCTGCACACAGTCACATGTCAATTACGGCTAACTGGACTAAGCAATGTGGTACCGCCATACGGTAGAATACTACCTAGTCATCAAAAAGAGACTCTTGTAGGCTGCCATTTCTGGAAAAGTTCTAGAAAATACATGCTAACACACACACAGAGACAGCTGACCGTGGCTGTCTGGGGTTGGGGTAGAAAGGATGGAGGAGGATGAGAAGCCTGCTATATTGGACAAGCGACACAGAGAATCCTCAGGGGCCCGTCCAGCCTGCAGTCGCTGCTTCTCACAATGCCCTCATATCCACCATCACTAAGTCTTCCTTTACCTGTCGGTTGGGTGGACTGTCACCTCACACCTTCCTAATTGACAGGTGCCAGGACTGGACACGGCCACCCGGGCTGTGGTCCTCTGCCTGTCCCTCCCTCCCAAGAGCTGTCCCCACCACCCTCCCTTGAGGGAGTGCGGGAGGGGGTGCACTGCTGCTGGGGTCCCTTCCTGGGGAGGGGCTGGCTCACCTCCAGCCCGGGCTCCATCTCATCACAGAGGCAAACATGCTCCGCACATCTCAGCTATGGCTGCTCAGACGTGGAAGGGGCCTTGGTGAGGGGGGAACATGGAAGGACACCGGACGTGGAAGGACACTGTATATGGAACACGGTACGTGGAACACAGGATGTAGAAAGACACGGGACGTGGAATAACATGGGACATGGAAGGACAGGGGTATATGGAAGGACGGGAGGACAGGGCGTGGAAGGACAGGATGTGGAAGGACAGGATGTGGAAGGACAGGGCGTAGAAGGACGGGATGTGGAAGGACGGGATGTGGAAGGACAGGGCGTGGAAGGACGGGATGTGGAAGGACGGGATGTGGAAGGACAGGGCGTGGAAGGACAGGACATGGAAGGACAGGGCGTGGAAGGACAGGATGTGGAAGGACAGGACGTGGAAGGACAGGATGTGGAAGGACAGGACGTGGAAGGACAGGGCGTGGAAGGACAGGGCGTGGAAGTACAGGATGTGGAAGGACAGGGTGTGGAAGGACAG